GAAAGCAGGGAGTGAAGCTGGCAGCTCCTGGGTAAGGACACCCTGGCTACTCACTTCATTTCTCCTCCCATGTCTTTGATTCTCCTTCTCCTGCCTGCCCAGTGCTGAGCTGGAGCTGTCACGTCTGGCTCTGGCACCGAGGGCTTTCCCCAGCTCCTTGCAGACACACAGAGGCAGGATCCATGCTTCCAGGGCAGAGGACGTTGTTAAAGAGCCTTTGTGAACTCCCCAAGGTCAGCCAGAACAGACAGCATCCACTAATCCAAGGTCATTTCCTGGGCTAAAAGCAATAAAATGTTTTATTGATAAACTGAAGAGGGGAGAATAAGCACTAAATCCACTCTCAGACATTGTGGGCCATGCCTGGGATGTTCTGCCTTTGCCCTGGCCCTGCCTGGGATAATACACAGGTCTTCATACTGGAGGGAAAATGTTTTCTGGTAGGGGCTGAGCATTTGGCTGTCTTCCCTGTCTCCTCCCAGCATGTGGCTGGGCAGTGCCAGGGCACTGCTCCTGAGAAGCATGTTCCCAATGCTCCACTGGCCTTCTCCTGTGAAGGTTTGGCTCCATTTTAGGGACTGCTGCTCAAGTGTGAAGAGGCTCCAGTGTGCAGCATCCTCACCTCCCACCCCAGCAAGCCATGCTGTCCTCCCTGTTTGGGACTACTGGGCAGACTGGAGTCTCTCCAGTCGAGTTTGCAGCACAGTGGTTAAAAAAGAAAAGGACTGTGCATACATGTCAGCCCTCCTTTCTTCCCCCTCCCCGCCCCAAATAATGCTGTTAATAATTAATCGAATGAGAGCTTGCAGCTCCTGGAAAGCTGGCAGTGGGACCTCCCTCCTGAACGGAGCTGCTCAGCTGGGCTTAAAACTCTTCAATAGGAATATGAAAGCTCCATCTGTTCGAGGTACCCGGCCTTCTGAAGTGACAGCGCTGTCCCTCCCCAGCCAGCACCCTCTCCCCCCAGAACAGGCCCTCCTGCCCCAGGGGCAGGGGTCTGCCCTGCACCCTGGCTCTTCCCACAGCATCAGCTCCTGCTGTTAGCCTCCACCCATGCCAGCTGGTTCATCCAGTGCCCTTTTTCCAGCTGGGACCCTTCCTCCCTCTGCCAGGGTGTGTTTTCATTAACCCCACGCTAAAGCCAGGCCTGGGCTCTCTCCTCCTCTCCCTGCAAAGCCCCTCTTATCTGTGCAGCAGTGTGCCCCTTAGCTGGCGTGGCCCATGGTCCTTTTGTTCCTTGGCACCGCTGTCCCCCACAGCCCCTCTGCTCCCTTGGGGGAGGCAGTGCCCAGCCGTGCCCAGCTTTGCAGCACTGTGGAGCTGCTGCTGCACTGGTGCTGCTGCAGGGCTGCATGGAGGGAGCGAGCCAGGGCTGCATGTGAGCTGCTGGCAGCACATGGGCACCCAGGGCAGCGGGTGGAGCAGGGGCAGCAGCCTGGGCTGGCAGGGCAGCGGAATGCTGAGGTGAGCTGTGTCTGTCCTCCAGCCCTGGCTGTAGCAAGATCTACCTGTCCTCCAAAGTGAGGGTCACCATGAAGATGCCACGGCGATGGGTACAGAGGGGGGGAAGAGCCTGTGTCTCCTCCAAGGGTGTGGAGAGGGGGAAAGAGGAGTAAACTCCCGGTGGCATTGTTTTCAGAGGAAGTGCTCAGTGTAAATAGAGTTTGTGGGAGAGTTTGTCCTGGGCAGAGATGAAAAGTCTGTGTGACAGGATCAGGTTATAAATGGCTTCCTTAGATTGATGTGAAATCAAAACATTTCTATTTAGAAGAAGAAAATGAAGGGGGATGTTTACTTAGCCTGGAATCTTTAAACAGTGATTTGGGGTGGGGAGCTCGGCCTGGGGGGAGAGTGCCTCTGCCTGGCTTCTGGGATCTGGCCGTCCCGACCTTGGGCAGATACAAGGACCCCTCATCAGCAGCTCAGCTTCCCTCCCTCTGCCCGAGAGGATGAAACACAGGTGCTCTGGTCTCCTCCAACCTGAGGCTCATGTTCAGCATTTCTCTGTCAGAAGGGTTTCCCTTCTGTTTGTGGACTTGACAGCCTAAAAGAAGGGAACAGGAATGTACCTCTCTTTCCATAGACAAGGAAGTAAGGGAATGAAAAGATAAAATGTGTCCAGACTTGGAGGGAGGTGGTTGCAAGGTTGGCAGGAGAAGCGGGAAGTTCTGATTTACACCTATATTGGAATAGGTGAGATATAGAGCCCTGGTATTTCAGAGCAAATCTCATTCCAAGAAGGTCTCTGGGAGGGTTAGTTCTGTAGATCAGGGAAGTGGCATGTTTGCAGAACTTGCTTTATTTTTAGCCTTAACTTTAGGAAAAGATTCTCAAAATGTTGAAGATAAAAAATCCCAAACAAAAGAAGGGAAAGGAAAGATGCCAAAGGGCAGGGTAGGAGCTGGGGGGCAGAAGCTGGAGAGGTAGAGGGGCAAAGCCAGGGTGTGTGAGATGGAAGGAGGCAGAGCAGGAATGGAAGACAAGTTGCAGGCTCCCTGAATTGCTGCATACACAGCAAGTGCAGCTTCAGGAACGTCTGTTCCTCTTTTCCTTTGAATAAATATTTATATATTCATTTGCCAGCTGGTGCACACACTTGGCTGCTCACCTCCAGACCAGAATAATGGGATCTGCCTTCCTGGCAGAAAGGGGTAGGGCAGCGAGGATTTGGGCTGCCGAATGTCTGCCTCCCAGTTATCTCCAGCTGCGAGCAGGGCTGATCTCACCAGTTAAGTAGGGCTGGCTATCGTGAGAGCTTGGACAGGGAATCAGCAGGCAGTGTTTGGGAGAGAGGAGGTGATTCCATGCTGACCCAGTGCCCTGGCCGCAGGCAGGCTCCACGTAGAGGCTCCATCCCAGCCACCTGCAGCCAGCGGGGCTCTCCTGGCCCTTGGCCTGAACCCACATGAGCTGTGGGTGTCCTGGCCAGGCTCCACTTGGAGCTCACAGCAGCCTCCTGAGATTCCCACTGTGGTACCAGCTGGACATAGGATCAGCCTTCACTTTGTGCCCTAAATAGTGGGAATGAATTGGAAGATGCCAGCAAATAAAGACTTGCAGCTTTATGGGCATCTGCCTGTGCCCATCTGTATGTGCGAGGGCTGCAGGCTTGTGTTGGGGAATGTGTGTAAAAAAGAATGTGTGGGGGAAGGCACAGGAATGTATTTTGGGGAGATGGGACTTCTTAACCTGTACATGTAGGACTGTGTTTACGGAGTGTGCCAGCGCATACACACAGCTCTTTGAACAGCTGTAATTTCTAGGTGGGGAGGTACGTGTTTGGGAGCATCGTGTGCTTTCCCTTGGTGAAAGCACGATTGCACGTAGGTGTTAGTGCCAGGGGGTGCGTTTGGAAAGTGGAGGAGTACATTTTGCCTCCCTTTGTGTGGGGGGCTGATACATTTGTCGGGGGGTTATTTTTCTTGCAGTCCTTGACAGGGAAGCGTGTCTGAAGCTGTCAGAAGTTTATGCTAAGCAGCCACTCTCTGGCTGTTGGACAGCAGGTCTAAAGTTTCAGTCTGTTTGTATTGGGCTGTCATGTTAGGGGATTAGGGGCTGTCACGGTGGCTTCTGGGTGCATTGTAGGGGGTCTGATTAATCTCACTGTGCTTCTGTGGAGCAGCACCTCTGTGCTGGTGACAGGGAGGTGTGAGCTGAGCTGCCACAAGGGAGTCCTGTGCAGTAGAGGAACCCATTCTCATCATTTGAGGTCTGGAGACGTGTTCTGTTCACTCTACATGTGACTAGCCGCTCTTTCAGGACACTGTAAAATCCAAGACCCCATTTTGGAGGGACCTCCACCTCCAACCACATCCCCACAGTAACTCTTGTGGCACGTGTGACCAGCAAGTGTTTTATTGAGTGTCTTCCTGAGCCCTGGAATGCAGGGCAGGGTCTGCCTTAGCCCTGCTCCGGGGGAAGAGCCAGGCTGTGTGCCCATTGCAGCTTTCCATCCTTTAACCCTGCTTAGTCTGGGCATCTCTCAGAGGTATCAGAAATAAAGAGAGAAATGAGACAATGCAGCTGCTTTAGAATAATTATTTTGCTTTTACTTGGGATTGAACCTTGTTAATTGTTGGTGCAATAATTATGCAAGTGACTCTGATAGAGACCATTTAGTTCAAGACTCTCCGTGACCTTGAAGTTAAGACCTTACCTTCTTCCTCTCTTCCCCCACCTTCTCTCACCCTCCCTTTACTAGCTGTCACATATGAATAAACTACATTAAAATAACAAACTCACACTAATTAGCTGATTGTGCTGGAAAGTATGAGAGCAGAATTTCCTGTGTGCAAGAGTGAGCAGGCAAAGGGGCCTGATCAGGCAGTACCAGCCCACAGCGATTTTCTCCATGCTGCTGTGACACACCAGTCTGGTTGTGGTGCTCCAGCACACACACTTTGCCAGGGCTCCTGTCCTCCATACTGGTTCTTTTAGGTGCTTACTGGTTCTCTTTTCTGAGACTGTGCACGAACTCTTTTAGGTGAATTCTGCACAGTCCACAGGGTTAGGCTTGGGAAGCTGTTGTCCTTGCTAGAGGTGTTTGGGTGCAGTTGCTGGCTGGTGTGATTTTAGCACCCACTATATCCAGGATAGGGACCTAAAGCAGGTGGTGCTGCAGTCTGAAGGAGAGGGCGATCTGTGCTTTTAACAAACTCGTATCCTGCCTCAGCCAGGAGCAAAGGTTGGTGCCGCGCTCACTTGCCTGAGATGTTTGGGATCTTTAAAGCCCAGTTCTGTCCCAGCACAAACGAGTGCCTCTTTCTTGTGGCCAGTGGCATATTTTGGTCCCAGCAGATTCAGAGGATGCTTCTCACCATGTTCTTCTGGCTGGGCTTCCACTCAGAGCTTAAGAAGCAAACAGTAGCTCCACCTTTCCAAGGATGAGACTGGCCATGCCTGAAAGCCCATTGGGCTGGCACCATCCTTTTGCTGTTTGGGTTCAAGTTGTCTGATCCCACTAATGCCCTTCCTTGCCTCTTTCTCCTCTCTCTTCCCAGCTGAAAGAACTATATGCACTGACGCAGCCTCAGGAAAACCCGCAATGGCTGCCAAGCGCAAAGGCGGCCTGAAGCTAAATGCCATCTGTGCCAAGCTGAGCCGCCAAGTCATCTTCGACCACGGGGGAGCTGAGCAGGCACGTGCGGACAAGGGGCCACAGCAGGAGAGCAGCAACAAGGACCTGCCCCAGCCTGGGACCAAAGAGCTGGGGACAGAGTTTTCAGATGGACTCAGCTGCGTGCAGAAGATCGAGGAGGACAAAAGGAGGGAGGTGATCGAGAAGTGGGTGAATGGGGAGTACAATGAGGAGCCCTTGCTGGGGCGAGCAGAGGGCAAGGAATGTAAGGGCACCGAGAGCACAGAGGTGCCCCCTGAAGGGGTCTACATGGTGCAGCCCAAGGGCTGCAGCGACGAGGAAGACAATGGGGACGAGGCAGACGCTCTGAGGGGCTCACAGGATGGCAACTTCTTGGATGACAGGGATTCAGATGGGCCAGCAAAGGACGATGCCTACCGGTCCTCCAGTGGCGAACCAGGCTCCAAGCTGGGGGCAGGAACCACCTCAGGTAAGCCCCTCTGTTCCTTCCATTTCCTGACACAGGGCAGCTTCAAAGCTATATTTTCTTCGTCCTGCAGCATTTGGCAGCCAAGGGGAAGGGTGAGAGCTCTGATCCCCTTGCAGAAGCCTTTTGCTCTTGGGACCATAAGGAGTTTGCCTCTGGCTTAGCCTCCCATTTCCAAGAAGGGTGGTGTGAGGGTGGACATGGCTGGATAGTTCTTTCCAGGCCACGAATCCCTGGGTAGGGCAAATCTCACCCTCCAGACTCCTTCACACCACTCAGAGCCCAGAGAGCCACCAGAAAGCCACCCCACACCGAATGTCACCATCCCTTCTTGCTGCTTCAGGGGCTGAGGCGATGCTCTGTCACGGTGTTGCCTCCCCGCACGAGGGGCTCAGTCCTCGAGCTTTGCCCACCCTGAGCTCGGGATCGAGCTGGTGAAAATGCTGCTCCCAAACCAAAGTTTCCCCCACCATCTCCTGTGTTCTTCCTCTGGCTGTGTGTTTCCTATTTTCAGATTACTTCTGCTTCATTTTTGTGGTTCATTCAAAAGCTGAGTTCAACAAGAGATGTTGGGGAAAGCCTGAAATGACTTTCTTGCTCCCTTTCTGATACCCGGGTTTTCCCTAGGTTGATTTGAGGGGGTGTATGAGTGCTAACCCTTCATGGGTGCATTGAATTCTCTCCGTTAAGGCAGAGCAGCTCCCTCCCCATTTGTCACTGAGCTGGGCTGGATCTGTAATTGAAAGATCTTCCCCTAGTCTGCTCCACCTGCACGCACCCCTCCCCTGATCTCAGCACTTTGTGAATCCATCAAACTTTCCTCCTTTTGTGTGTGCGCATGTTTTCCTTCTCCTGTTAATAATGCAGCTGAAACTCATCTCCGTCTGTCCGTTCCCCTTCTGGAGAGGCACATTCTCCAGTCTTCACGAGTTCAGCGGCAGCGCACATAATTATGCATATAAGATATAAACAGAGCTGTTTAATTATCCTTCGCCACATCAGTGACAGAGTAATTAACAAACATTGCAAGATCAATGAGGGAAAGTGTGACCTTCAGTTTCCTTTGATAGGAAAGCCCTTGTCGTTCCCAGACACAAGGTGATTGTGCCTGGACTCTGGTTTAGTTTGTTTTAATTCACACCACTCCACCCCACCTCACCATTTCCAGCTTTTACTTGCTATAAAAACTAAAAAGAGGGGAACATAAATGTAAAAAAAAATGTTCCCAAACTAGGGAAAATGAACAGAAGCTGAGGTTTCTCACTGGGGGAAGAGATTTAAGTAAAATACCTTTGCAGGGCTGTATTGTCAAAGGATTATGCAAAAATGGGTAACTGTTCGGGGGCGGGGGGAGCTGAATCTTCATTTATGTCTAAGGCAAGTAATGGCACATGAGGCATCCAGTTTACATATAGAACCACGTGGGATTTGACTTGCAAACAGACATGCTGCTGTGTCTTGAGCGTCTGCTTGAAGAACCTTGTTATAAATGTCATTTGCAACATTTTCCTGAAAGCACAAGAAACATCCCTTGCTTTGGAAAGGACAAAGTTATTTTCCTTTACTTTCTGTCAGTGTTCAGGAAATGAATTTTCAGCTGTTCATCACCGAGTCCTCTCAAGACCTGACGTTAGTGAGTGTGATCTAAACTTATTCCAGCGAGACTTGGAACTTTGTCTGTCAGAAATGAGGAATTTTTTGGTAGGAGTTGGGGGGTCACAGGAGTCAGGTGAAAGGAGAGGAATACAGCTCTGGCCTCCCAGTCAAAGTGGCTTTGGGGGAGTCACACAGAAACCTTGATTTGAAGATTCTGAGCACTACTTGTTCCATATAATAGGAGATTATAATAGGAGAATAGGAGGTACAGAACTGACAGTGCTGAGCAGTGTTTAAAACTGAGCCCATATTTGCCTCAACTGGAAGCTTGTGTGAAAAGCAGGAGCCAAACACAAAACAAAATCCTACATCTAACAGGCTTTCTTGGTCAGTGGGAAAAGTGATCCTAATTCCATGGGGATGAGAAGGGTTCCTGCTTCCCAGGGTCCTGTTGTGTTCACACATTGTCCACTTTCTAGGGATTCAGCTAGTGCCCATGTCTTCCACCAGCACCTCTGGTGGTCCACTGCCAAATCCCGGCCACCTTTGTGTCCTTCCAGGCTGAGAGGAAGGCCGGGTGTGCATCGGGCAGAAGTGCACAGGGACTCGGTCAGTGCTATTCAAGCCTCATGCTTTGAAACAAGATGGGGTTTCTCTTCCAGCCTCCCCTAAGCAAGACTTAGGAGTCAATGCTCAGTCTTGCCCTGTTTGCCTCCTCCCTGGTCCACCTGGGAAGCACACTCGGGAGTCACAAAGCTGGTGTCGGTCAGGAGATGGGTGTCAGAAGCTGATTTGGGTGTGCAGATATGTTTGTTCATTCATTCAGGCACTCTCCCTTGCCCACTGACTGGCCCATGCTTCTCTGTGCACATTTATATATAGCAGTAAGATTTCTCAGTGCAGTCTCTGACACAGATCCCTTTCCACAATCGCTCCCTGACGCACACATACTCAGGCAGATTTTCCTACACATGTTCTTCACTTTGTCTGTTACATAGTGGGCTAAAGCAGTCCGAGTAGGAGCTTCCCCCGTACAAGCTTTTGGTTCTGCCTTTCTTTTCTTAGCTTCTTGGCTAAGTCTCTTGGAATATTCATTGGCCCTATTTTCAACCAGGAGAGTTTTCTCTTCCTAATTTCCTGGGGAGACTCCACTTAGGAGAGCATATGTGCCAAGTGCCAGTTTCTTCTCATCACCCTGCGTCCCCCAGGTCTACATATCTTCCCTCCCAAGCAGAATAAAGGACAGAGCCCTGGCTGGGATGTCCCATCCCCCAGTATCCAGACCTTGCGCTCCATTTGGGCTGTTTTGCTTTTCCTTCCATATATAGTGTGCTGCTGCGGGCTATTTTTAGCGCCTTTTTTGCTAGCTTCGGATCCTTTGTGATATGATAGCTGCTCTGAGACACACAGATCTCTGCTCTTTGGCAATGCCCACAAATGGAGAGCAGTGGCAAGGGGAGAGGGAGCCCTTTATTATCACACAGGAAAGGAGAGGAAAATGCAGCGCAGGGAAGGGGGAGGAAAACACAGGGATAATGCTTCCTGTGGCTTCCAGGACTCCTCACAGGGAGTGTTTTCCAACTGGTGTCCTGCTTCGTTTTTGTCTGTTTGTGGAGATGAGGAGGGTTTTCTGTCAGTTAGGTAATACCAATTACCTCTTCACCGCTGTCTGAAGGTGTGTGTGAAGTGAGGTGGCTGAGTCTCATGCAATCCCTCTGGTGAGCCAGGTCCCTTCTGTAGGTTGTCTCCATTGGAGGAGCCTCTGTCCTTCATCTTAGGTGCCTGAGCAATTACCTGCAGCTTGTACTAACCTCAGGGGGTGTATTGGGCTTGTTGGGCTCATACTGGGTGAGTGGAGCTGCAGTTCCCAGCAGTGAGCAGTGGGAACTGGCCAGAGCTTCGTCTCAAAAGTGGGTGAGGAATGACTGAGCAACACCAGCAAAGCTGTTGATCAGGGAGGGTGTTGTTATCATCTGGAACCAAATCTGAGCGAAGGAAAAGCATAATTCAATGTAGAATTCCATGACAGTGAAAGCTGAACTCAAACTTCACAAAGTTCAAAAGAAGTTCTGGACCACTTCCCCATCCTTTCCCACAGGCATGGATTTTGCATCTGACTGTTTACACCAGTTGAGGTATTGCCACATGGTATTAAAGATGGGGCACATTGGCTTTCAGGGCAGTGGCTAAAGCTAGCAAAAATTACATTTAATAGTTTAGTTTTGTATCAAATCCTCTGTGTGATATTCTTTTTCCCCTTGCAGCTTGACACAGGCTGGCTAGAGTTTTTCTGTGCAGTGCTTGGAAATCAGGGCATTACTAGGGAAGCTGGGGGTTGTTTTACAGGTCCAAAAAGAAAGGAAAGCAGATTTAACAGAAACAGGAAATTGTTAGACCCAGTAGGGATTTCATGGGTTCATTCTCTTTCCTTGGGTCATAGGGTTACACCGAAATGGAAGTGGGGGAAAGAAAAAGAAGAGGTGAAGAGGAGAACTGCTTTAAAGCAGAATGAAAATTTTTAATATGCTGTGTGTGAAAGATAAAAGTGTCCTTCAGGCAAGTCTCGTTACTGGACCCAGTGAGGAATGGTTCTGCATTTAACATCCTGTAAGATTAATACCAACCCATGAGGTTGTGCTATGCCCTGAGCCTGACACTGCAGGAGCATTGCCACCCATTCTGTGACTAACAGGGTGTGTATTCTGGAGTCAGGCATCCCAAATCCCATGCAGAATTCTAGGCTTTAGTGCCTGGGACTGGAAGGTCATTTTGGGCTAAGCCAGATGCCAGCCGGTGTGGCTTTGTCCCTTGCCTTGCAGGCTCTGGGTGTGTTCTTCACATTGCCTTCCCCCAGAGCCACGTACACAGGGAAGCAGTGCAGCAGCACTTCTGCTGCAGTAAAACAGCTATTCCAGGCAATCCTGGAGCAGGAATGTGACCTTCATGCTCTTGCCCATTTAGTGCCCGTCACAGGCAGTCTTTCCTCCATAGAGTCCTGGGAAAACTGATTTGTGGGAGCTGATGGCTATTGAACTTGGGCTGTGCTCATTGACAGGCTCTCGCGTGCGCGGAATCGCTCTCGTGTACGTGCCTGCCTGTGCAAGTGGCATCCCTGCTGTCAGATTCCCCACATCTTCGGAATCTTTTGGATCTACTGACCTGCTCTGTGACAGCGTCTTGGTGCCTTCCTTTTCCACTGTGTTTCAAGGCAGTGTTGCTTTGTTTTGAGTGAGACCCCATGGCCAGAACGTCCCTTCTGCTGCCAGCGTACCTCCCTGTGCTGGCTGCCTGGGAAGGAATGTGCTTGCCCATGAGAGCCAGAGCAAGTGTTGAGTAAAGATGATGAGGGAGGTTTGAAGGACTCCTGCACACAGTAAATCTTTACTCTGCAGGAGAAAGCAAGAGGGAGAGGAGGAGGAGCGCTGTCTCAGACTGAAGCCTAAACGAGGCCAAGCGGCGCATCAGAGCAGTCTTTATTTCCTCCTTTACACTGATATTGGGTGACCTCCAGATGTGTGTTCTTCCCATCATGGTGGGATGTGAAACTGCCTGAGGGAGTGGGGAGGGAAGAAGGGAGGGAGAGACCCAAGGAAGAACAGCTTTTGCTCATTCTTCCTCCCTGTAATCAGGCTCTGTTAGACTGACCCCTTCCTGCCCCTTCCCCTACCCATGCTCCAGAGCAAAGGCTTTCTCCTCCTCCCTGGAGCCCACATCAGGACAACAGCTTCCTCTCCTCAGTCTAAATCCTGATGGAGAGATGGCTGTTCCTTACCTATTTTTCACCTGTGTGGACTTTCCCCTTTCCTGGTGTTACTGGAAGCTGTTCTTGGCTGCTTGAGAGGCTGCCTGTAGGTTTCCATAGCATTCACTGGACTGTGGCCCTTTTCCACATGGCAAGTAGTAGCTGTTCAGTTACAGGGATTGGGAGGGAAGAGAGCAGCTGAGTGAATCCTTACAAAATCGACAAGGAAGGTAAAGGAAGGACTGCTACTCTCTGCACTGTTCTATTCTGCCCTCCTCCTGCTCCACCCCATACATTGCCTTGCCCGTCTCCCTTATCCATTTCACACCATGCTGTCCTGCCTGCTCTCAGCCCTGCTTGCTCTTCACCACCACACACAGCATTTTCACATGGGTTTTCCCCCTTACACATGCTGCCATCTATCCTCTGTGCACCTCCTTCCATACACAAATATACACAAGGACAGATCTGTACAAACCTCGGCATATTGGCATTGGTCTCACTTCCAGTAAAATTACTTTTTCTTCATATTAGGCCAAGGCAAGAGTGCAGAGACATTTATGAAACTTTGTTTAATGTACTGAAAAGCCATCGGCTAGAACATTTAGGAAATTGATTTTCCTGGCATTGATGAACTCTTTTTATTTTACCCCAGTATTAATTACTTTTTTTTTTAAACAAATTAATTTAAGAGTCATAAAACCTAACAAGTGAGCCAAACGTCAGTAGATCATGTTCCCCTCTCCCCTTCCTCCCCCCCTCCACTACCGTGCTGCTATGGGAGAAAAAGAAAAATCAGTGCCTTGTGTGACTCTCCTCTGCTGTTTGACTGCAGGGGAAGCTTCATCACTGCGGGATTATGCCGCCACCACCATGAACGAGTTCCTGGGCATGTTCGGCTACGACGACCAGAACATGCGGGACGAGCTGGCCCGCAAGATCAGCTTCGACAAGCTGAACGCTGCTACCTCAGAGGCCAGCGCGGCTGCCGCCTCTCTCCCCGGCGAAGATGCCATGAGCAAACGAGCCCGCTTCTCCAAGTACGAGGAGTACATCCGCAAACTGAAGGCTGGGGAGCAGCTCTCGTGGCCCATGCACCTGGCCAAACCTGAGGAGTTGGGCTCCAAGCTGGGGAAAGAGCCGTCCTCAATGCTGGCACAGCCCATTCGCGTGCCAGGTCCCGATGCCTCCATGCTGACGGAGACCAAAGCCACTATCCTGCCACTGCCCTCTCCCAGCAGCTCCCAGATGCAGGGCCTGATGTCACGAGCCTCCAAATATGACTTCTTCATTCAAAAGCTGAAGACAGGTGAGAGCATCAGGCCACAAAATGGCAACACTTACAAGAAGGCCTCCAAGTATGACCTAGAAAATGTCAAGTACTTGCACCTTTTCAAGCCTGGGGAAGGAAGCCCTGATATGGGAGGAGCCATCGCCTTCAAGACAGGCAAGGTAGGCCGGCCTTCCAAGTATGATGTGAGGAACATTCAGAAGCTTACTCCAGTGAAAGCTCCAGTCCCCAGCCTGGCCCCTGCCTCCCTCACCAGTACCCCCAGCAGCACTCCTGTGGCCGGGCCAGAGCAGTCCATCTCATTGCCATTCAACACTCCTGAGTACCTGAAATCAACTTTCTCCAAGACAGACTCCATCACAACTGGAACAGTCTCTACAGTAAAGTAAGTGTACTCCCACTTTTCTTATCTAAATACTAGTGGGGGATCATACCATAAGTCTGTGTGTGGTTCAGTGGGCAATTCCAAGTTCTTGTCCTGTTAAACACTGCATTGTTCATGGGATGGTTCTCTTTGCTCTCTGTCAAAGCATCTGCTCCTTTTTTACACCTTACATCTCTGTTTATCTGGTCTGCACTAAGGCTGCCATCAGCAGCCATAGCCATGAATCTGGAGTTCAGTAGTTCCTGAGTTTATATGTTAAAATGAAAGAGGAGGGAACATGGTGCTGTCAGCACTCTTAAGGTCAAGGTTAGAACTACTTTATTTTCTTCTCCCTCTGGTTTCCTAGGCATCTGGGATGTGTCTGTAGGAGAACTTGGTTCTTGTTTCCATTTAGCTCAAAGGCATGGCTCTGCTGACTTTACTGTTAGCAAGGTGGGGCTTTCTGTTTGTCCCAGAACTCAGAAGACATTTTGGTGCCTAATTCCCATCAATTTCCATAGGAGTTAGGCACATACCTACTTCTGTGGGGCCAGGCCTGTGTCTTCTCAATTTGCTTACACAAATAGAGGTGATTCAATTACCCCTCAGACTGGGCAAACTCATTAGCCCAATTACCACTAATAACCTCCTGCGAATACGTTGCCAGCAGTTTCTGCAGTGATGCCATTGACTGAATGGAGGTATCTGAAGGCCCTGCCAAACCTTGGATTACTTTTTAATGTGCCTTCCAGAGATGGGAGCTGTAGAAGAGATGCATATGTCTGTCAGGCTGCAGCAGGGAGGAAGGGAGAGACTTCTCTGCTTTCTTGTAATGGTTTGGGTTTACTTGTTTCTCACTGTGAATCTGGGCTGTTGTGAGCTGTGAATCCCATGGGATCGTTTGTAGTAAGTCCAGGGCCTTCTGTCCTGCCCTCTGGGCCATCACATACACCCTACTGCTTGGTCCTCTGATGAGGAAAAATGCTGTTTTGTGTTTGGTATGTGGACGTAGGAGGCCTTGAGCTTGCTTGAATGCTCTTTGCAGCCCCAGCAAAGTCTTCATCACCCATTTTCCCTGTTTCCCCACGTGGAAGGCAGAGCCATGTAATGATACCTGTCTTCCATGTGGAATGGTTGTTTATCAACTGCCTGCAGAGAGATGGGGAGCTCTGTGGTAAAGGTGTCTGGGAAAGAACAGAGGATTATTAACATCTGCATCTGCTCAGGGTGCTCAGGATCCTGCCCAGGATGAACCTGTACGTGCTACAGATGACAGGCAGGGTCTCCTATTACTTAAAAACACAGTGATGTAAATATTCCTGTAGACTCAGTGCCCTGTGTGGGGAGTGGCTTGGTCTGAGACTCTGCCTGAAGTATCTTGAGAACACTCAGCTGCCTGGGGCTCAGTCGCCACCCTAGAGCTGTGCCTAAAGGCACAAGCAAAATGCGCAAGGCTCTTATCTGCTGTGGTGTTGCACTGGGATCCCAGTTTGTTTTCCTTTCTCTTGCTCATTTTCTGCCCCTTGCCAGATGTGGGTTTGCCAGCACCATGGTGAGCCTTCCTCTGGCCACAGGACTTCCCCAGCCAAGGCATCATGATGGGGCTGCAGCTGGAGTGGAGGTGACCATGGCCTTCAACCTGGCACTTCTGTGTCGTGATCACACATTGCAGTGCAGAATGGGCTCTGGTCCCTTCTCCTTCAGGCTACTCACTTGGATAGAGACTTCCATGATAAAAGACAACTGCCTATTAACTGTGCTGGAGAAGGAAGTGCTGACTGTGGTATCTGGGCCGTGGCTTCCCATTCCCAGTCCCCACTGGGTTCAATAACCAGGCAGGAATTACCCTTTACTCTCACACATCTGCACATGCACCCTCGCCATGGGTTTAAACTCTCTTAGATCCAATGCCATTAACCTGCCCTGAACTTGTCTACCTTCAAGTGAACTCTGTGTGAAAGTGTCCTTGTTTAAACCAGGGTGCAGAGCTGCAAGGAGGAGGAGTGGAGGTTGGGCACAGGCAAAGCACACAAGGAAGGTGGTGTGCAGCCTGTCTGGAGGTGCACTGGGGTGGCCCTACCTCTTGGGTAGGCTGGAGTCAGGCCCTGCATCTCATTTTCCCTCTTCTGAACTCACTAAGGATGTTCTTTTTGTCTGCTTCCTAACGAAGTAAAATAATCCAGGCTTATGTGACAGTTGGGGTGGTTGTCTCATTGATTAAAATACATAATCTGTCTGTTAGAGTTTTGGGGTATCTGTGAACAAAAGAGGCATTTTAAGCCCCATCCAGGGGCTGGAGCCACTGTTCCAGTGCTGGTCACAGAGCAGAAGGGCTGCTGGCCACAGGGAAATGGGCAATAGCTGACAGCGTGGCTGGCAGAGAGACTCTTCTCCTGCAGCTGAGCCAGGGGCAAAGCTTCCATGCACACAAGGGCAGCGCTGCCAGGTGCCTCAGAGGTATTTGCATGTGGACATCACTTTTTTGTATAGGCATTTTTTCTGTAGAAACAGGTTTTTGTGGTTGATCTTCTCCGTTTCTCCAACACTGCTCTGAGTCCTGCAAACAGGGAACATGCAGGAAGGGTGATATTCAGCCTGTGTGTTTCCCTGGGAAAAGAAGGTACAGGATTTGAAGGGCAAAGGGGAGGGAATTTAAACTTACAGGTGTCTTTGCTGGTACCCTTCCCTGGGCCCTTTTTCCTGATCTGTCAGCTGTGTGTGAGTGAAACAAGGGGTTTAAGCTGTGCCCTGTTCCTGCTAACCAGCTCTGCCCTGTGTGTCTCTCATTAGGAATGGATTACCCACTGACAAACCAGCCGTCAGCGAAGACGTAAATATTTACCAGAAGTACATTGCCAGGTAGGCAAAACCTTTGACTTTGCTGGGGAGAGGACTGGGAGTAAAAAGACGGAGTGGTGGTGGGAGAGACGAGGTCTTGTCTGGATCGAGTGTTTAAACCAGACATTGGCACTTGCATTTCCCGTGGCATCTGTACTTGCTCTGTGCCCCTGCCTGGGAGAGCAGGAGCTGTGAGAGGTGTACAGTCATGCCAAGAGCATGCTGAGCTCCCTGGAGCTGTTAGACTTTGTGACAAATAGTGGAAAACTGCTTCACTGAAGAAGCCCAGGATTTAAATGGGGGTTCTGCCTCTTGGCTGTTATTCTTTCTGTCCACTGCCTTTTTTCCCTACCATGTCTGCAGGAGGCAAGCAGAGAACATCTCAGCTCTGAGAATCCACTGGAGAGATTCACAAGTGACTGGAGTTTAGGGAGCTCTTGGGATCTTGGATAGCATGGGACGTTTATCCTAGAAAATGTTTGCAGCTCATTTGTCTGAGAAACCCTCACTGAATCAGGTGCAGAGGAGGGCACCTTATCACAGCTGTGGGCATGCTTAGGTCAGGACAGTGATGCTGAGAGGAAGGCCAAGGCTGTTGTGGTGGGACAAAGTGAGTGATGCCACAAGAGCTAGAGGGACAGAGATGATTGCACAGCACCTGCCTGGTTTAGAGCTCATGGCATAAAGGGTCCATCAGGCTTTGCCCCAGCCTGTTGGATCCTCCATCAGTAATGTAAGAAGGCTCCCAACAAAAGCCCCTTATATCCAGACTGATGTGAGAGAAGCAAGCAAATGCTTCTCTCCAGGGAAAAAACTGGAGGGTTTGCTGGAGGGAACGTGTACTGTGCTTTCCCACCTTACCAGAGCCCACAGAGACCCTCCTTGTGGGAGATAATCAGCTGCTAGGAAAGTAAAGGGAACATTTTGGCAGGGAAAAGGAGTGGGAACAGCACTCCCCTAGCTCAAGAATGGAACGACAAGTGACTTAATTTCCTCCCTTTTTCCCAAATCCCAGATGTAGGAGAAGGGGGCAGAAAACCCCATGGGAAGGGAGGACAGTTGTGCCACCACAGGCAGCTCCTCAAGCAGCAATGCCTCAAGTGCATGTGGGAATTCACTGCCTCGGGGGACAGTACAGTAGTAGAATATATAGAATATATAGAATATAGGAAGGAAAGCAGGGGTTTAAACCACTCTTTGCATGGGGCAGAAGGAGCAGTATCCTTGTACTTCTGCAGGAATTGCAGGAATTGCAGTGGGAGAGGAGGTGGCACCTTTCTGTCCCCCATTCACCTCTCGAGTAGAAAACTGTAAACACTTCAGCCACATCCACTGCCTTTGGAGCTGTGCAAGCCCCTTTCCCTGGGGCAGGCAGGTAGCTGAGAGAGGATTGTGAGCTACCTCAGGGACACCACATCCTGCTTAAAAGGCTTCGCAAGCCACCCGTTGCCAGCACAGCCACTTCCCTTCAATTTACACACATTTAAAAAAACAGTTTAAAGCCTTAAAATCAAGGGGTGGGGGGAGCAGAGACACAGCACTCTTATGTCTGTACTGCATAATTAGCTTAATGAGTTTGCCAAAGCCACTGCCAAAAGCTGCCCAGGGATAATCCATTCTCTCACACAACAAAACAAAACCTCTTACTTAGCTAGTTTGGGTTGGGTTGTTTTTCCCCCTCCGCCTCCCTGTATATTTATAATTAAAAAAAAAAAAAAGACCACAGAAAAAATTATTATTATTATTATTAGTGCCTCAGCAGATGGTGCTTCTGGCAGCACTTGCTTAAATATTTATTTCTGTGTGGGTTTCCTCCCCCCTTGTAATTGGGGTGGATTTTTTTTTCTTCTTTCACATCATCGTTACAGAGTAATGAGTCTGTAAACACTCTCTAAGCATGCTGACTTCTTTATTTATTATTTTTATTATTATTTATTTATCAACTCTTGCCAGATCGAGACTTTCTGGCCAAAGAAAAAAAAGGTGAACCGATTAATGTAAAGGAAGAGGGAGTGGGTTGTTCTTGTGCAATTGCATCTATGTGTCTGTATTGACAACTCAGGAGTTTGGATTTGTATATCAGTCTGATGAGCTGGTCTGTGAGTTTCTTGCTTCAGGTGTGTGTGTTTGTGTTGTTCATGTGCATGGAAATTGTGGGTACGTTCAAGTAAGTTCAGGGGGTGTTGCTGTGCTGCAGAGTCTGTGCATGTAAATGTGTGTGTGTATATGTGTGTAAGTGTGTGGTGTGTAAGCTTTCCTGTTATGAAAAACCTAAACAGATGCTGCGCTTTAAAAATTAATAGCTTTGAACTGTTTCAAGTGTCAGAAGAAACACAGGATAATATAACCCTTTAGGAGCCCAGCCTTGCACACTGAAGGAGCAGAATTTCCCCTTTGTGCTGAGTTTGCCACTTCCCTCCTTCCCCCAGCACACAGCTCGGTGGAACACTTGTTTCTCCCTTCCTGTGCTGTAGGCACTACACACACCTTTCTGTGGCACATGGTAAGGAGGGTAGGAGTTGGAAGTGCTGGAGTGCTTGTTTAGCTGTTGTTTTTAAAACTGAGCCCATGTGTCATTCCTGCAAGGGTGCTTCAGATAACTCATCTCCTGGAATCAGATCTTATTGGTGTCTGGCCCTTCTTTTACTCCAGCTAGTATGTCTGGTCACTTTGCATCCTCATTTTTGATAATAATTTGAACTGCTTTGTATTTGTCAGCAAGGTCTGTTTCATCCTCCTCTCTTGGCCTGGCCTGCACTGCACAGTTCTCCAGCCCTGCACAGCCCTTTGCTCTTTTTTCCCCATGACTTCAGTGGAAGAGAGAGGAAGCTTCCCACAGGGCACTTTCTTTCCTTGAAGAGCTGCTGGCGGTGCTGTGACATAAAGCCCTGGACTAGCAGGAGCAGTGGGTTTCGTGTGTTGTGGAGCCACATGTCCCTGGTCAGCTGCCCACAGTGGCTCTGGTGGCTGCCCTGGACAAGCCCAGCAGTCGCCCAGGCATTGAGCAGGAATCTCTCCTCTGCTCTCAGTTCCACACCTTTGTTTGTGCAGCCAGCCCTGCTGTTTGCCTTGTGGTTTGTTTCTTCTCTGCTGCTGAGGTTTGTTCCAGTTTCTCAATCACCTGTTCTGACGTGATCCTGATTTCCTGCAGTATTTCTTCTCCTTCCCCAGGGAAAGGCATGTCTGCTCCTGGCATCTGTCCCTGTCTCCCTTTGTGAATGCTGAGGCAAAGAAGTCATTTAATTTTTTAGCAATGTCTATCTTTTCTGTCAATTAAGTCCCCTTTCCATCTCCTAGAGGCCCTGCTGTCTCCACAGTTGACCTCCTCTTCCTTACTCTGCTTCAGAAATGGCTTATTTAGTATTGCTTTTCATCTAGACTTTTCCTACCCCATAGCCTCGCATTACCTCACTGTATTATGATCTGTAATCTTCCCTGCTCCTGCCCCATTCCTCAGCTGCCCCAGGACACCCTCACTCCTCTCATTTTCCCTTTTTATCTGTTGCCCTTCCTCATTTCTTTCCCATGCCCTTTATCATGTGCACTCCTGCTGTGTTTAGCACTTAAGTGACGTGAGGAACCTTTGAGGAACCTTTGAGCAGATGGTACTTTATCTTTGAATGTTTCCCCTCTGAGTCCCCTTCTCTCCACTGCTTTTCCCTTTCAAGCTCTTCTAGGGTCCTCTAGAATATACACGAGGGAGTTCATGGCACTGATTACCCCATTACTGGATCATCCCCGTATGCCAATTCTTGGTGTGTCTGTCAGTCAATAAATTCTGTATACTGACTGTTTGTATTAGGTATTACACGGCATTTCTGACTTTCTGGTCTTTTTTGCCACCCTGTATGTCAGGAGTTTTCCACTTTGCTGTATGTAGCTTTTCTGATATCCTACTAGGTGGGCTTATGCTTAAAATTTAGAATCCAAATTTGCCCAACATTTATTTGTCTCCTTCTGTCATGGGAGGTTTCTGAAACTTGCTGGTGTGGTGTCTAAACTCTATTCTAGAATTGTGTGGTGTTTAGTTCTAGGAGCCCTCCTTCCTTATGCTTCCCCAAGTAAACAACTTAGATAACGGAGATGAATTTCAAGGGGAAAGACAGATTAGGGACGTACAGGACCTGAGTGATCCGGCTCAAGAAGCACCTTTAAATAGTGACAAACAAGCAAGGGAAGGCGCGAGGGTCACCATCCTTGGAGGGGATAAAGGAGGTGGGGTTTAATGCCGTAAACATGTCAGATAAAAGCAGGAACAGGACTTAGCTGATTTGTACCTTGCTTACAGGCATTGCTGCCAGGACAGTGGTTGATTGTCTGTCCCTCTCTCCTGTTGCAGGTTCTCTGGCAGTCAGCACTGTGGACACATACACTGCGCCTACCAGTACAGAGAGCACTACCACTGCCTCGACCCCGAGTGCAACTACCAGGTAGGGCAGCGCCAGAGCAGCAGCACGGCTCCCCAAACCTGCGGGAGCCTCCTCCTGTGCTCTCCTCTCACACGCCTTTTCACCTCTCAAAGAGGACAAGATATGTTCTGAATTTAACAGATCTTTATTTTGCTCCCATTTAATTCAATCTAATACCATTTAACCAAACTCAGACCACTACAACGAGGAGCTGAATATAGATCAGCTCGAGTCAGTGGGAACTGCTCCACATTTATATCAGTGAAACACCGAGAGCATAAATTGTGCTGTGTTACAAACTGTGCCTGAAACCAGGGAGTGCTGATCTGTTAGTCTGTCTCTCTCCCTCCTGCTGCCCGAGTGACTTTGTAGCAGCAGTATCTGCCACAAAACACCCAGTAAGACCAGCAGCAGCGTGGGATTTGTGGGGAAGGCGCAGGGGTAGGAGTGATGCTGTAATTGCTGGGAGAATTGCCAGGGTATGCACGTCAAGCCAGCAGGTCATGTGCTGTGTTTGTTTACCCTTATCCCAGGTCCAGAGTTTGACACTGGCATTTCTGTGGTCAGGCTGATGCACGAGTGGGAATCCCAGAGTTTGCCTCCGCCGTGCACCAGCCACAGCTTCAGCCCTGCCCTGCGAGACCTTTGGGTCTCCCGGGGATGAGCCTGACCACAGCAGAGGAAGCTGATCTGGAGCTGCTGGGCTTGGCTGTGGGTTTCTATTGATCAGAGGAGAATTTCTCTCCAGGATGCACGTACTGGTCCTTCGAGCCCAGCATCCAGTAATCACGATGAGTCTGTCCCAACTGTGACACAGATATCCCTGCACCAGAAAGAGAGAAACACAAAGGATGGAAAAACAGAAAAACCTATTATTATGATTGGCCTCATGATTATTTCCTAAGGAGTCTGGAAGCTGCTTGCAAAGGAGCTGTCTGGTCTCACAGGGAATAAGGATTTAGGCTGCTTTTTAAAATGCAAATTATTTTATGGCTGAGATATATTTTAGAATAAGTAACGCTTTGTAATAAGTGGGCACAAATTAACAATGATTGGCAATAGCAATCCTGTATGTACGCTCTGGGAAATCATAGCTCCAGCCTCCAAGGGATTTTGGTTGAAATCTATATCTATATATTCCCGTGCCAATACCAATGAGATTGATCAGGATTGATATTATAGGAGGAAAGAGTGGAAGTGATAATCATTTGTTTCCTATGAGGCAGACTAGAAAAGTTGTTAAACATTAGAATACAGGCCTTTTCAATTACTGCTCAAAATAAATGGATATTGATTTCTTTTAAAAAAATCAGATTTACTTTCTCACCTTCTGTGGTAAATATTGATGTCTGTGGGAAATAGAAATAAAAAGCGTCATTTTAAAGGCACTTAGCCTGCTCTGACAATGGGGTACCCCTTCATTGCTTCAAGCAGGTAGAGATTGAAAAGGATATTCTGGTGATACAGATTGTGCTCTGAGCTCTATTTTTCTGTAGAAAAGCATCTTTTTGTGTGAATTGAAGAAAGTCTTGCGTCCCTCTTTTCCTGATAAAACTGTCCTACCTTCTAGGGGACAAAAGAGACTTAGAATGGGAGGACAGTGTAAAAGAGCAAAGGGTTTTTCCTGATTTCTAGTCCAGCATGAATGTGGCAGCCAGTGTCTTGCTAACCACTCCAGTGAGTGACTTGGGAGCTTGGCTTAGTTGCTTGTAGGCTGTTCAGTTCACTGGTTTGCTTTCTAACTATAGCACTTCTTGAGATAGTTGCAGCTAAAATTATGTTAGAAGATCTGCAATCTTAAAGCTGCAGGGAGCAGATTCTGGGCATCACCCCAGTGCCATGTTTACTCTAGAACTTGTGTATTTACTTTCCCTTTACCAAGAAGATACATGCACACAATTCCTCTTTAATCTGATTCTCTTGGGGTGATTACTGCCAAGCTTTCAACTCCTGGTCCTATAAGTTTATTAACAACAACAAAAGGCACCCACCCTGCCCCCAGGATTACTCACCCACTGGGCACCATGCGTGTCTCACTGTCTGTGTCTGTATCTCTGCAGAGATTCACTAGTAAACAGGATGTGATTCGGCATTACAACATGCACAAGAAACGTGATAACTCCCTGCAGCACGGCTTCATGCGCTTCAGCCCCCTGGACGACTGCAGCGTGTACTACCACGGCTGCCACCTGAACGGGAAGAGCACCCACTACCACTGCATGCAGGTGAGGCTCAGCTGCTCCTCGGGGGCTCTGCGGGGCCTGGGCACCCCACGCTGTCCTGCCAGAGAGCATTGGGCTGTCCTAAGGCACAGCGGGGACATTCAGAGCCTGTCCTGCTCACTTCTCATTCAGGAGCCCCCTTGACAAGTCTGTGCCCTGTCCTCACTGCACTCGTCATGCCGAGCGCTGGCAATGGCAAAGAGAAGCCCCGTTGTCAGTTTTTAGAAGCCTTGTCCATGCAGTGAGGCAAAGCAGGTCTCAAGGGTTTCTCAGTCTTGGACTAACTGAAGGAAGTCCCATTCTCTGAGACTCAGGGACTTCTTAATTGCCACTGCGTTTCTCTACTCAAATCTGATCCGTCCCTCCCTTGAAACCAGACTTTCTTGTGGCACATCTGCCCTTTAGCACTGGGTTAATTTCCTCCATAATCAATTTCTAAAGTAATTAAACCTTAATGTCACATACCTGCACTTAACACCCCCGGTTCTCCGTGTTCTTTGCCAGTGGCACTCATGTGAGGTGTAGGCTGAGAGCCATGTTTCAGGGGCAGCCAAGCTTCAGCAGCAGCTTCAGCCAGAGCTGGAGCTGCTGCACAGATGCCACTGTGATGCCTCCACTGTTTTAGACATGAACACACCACATTGTTTGGGTCATTCCTCAGGTTCAGTGGTTTGATGTGTACTCGTTTTAGTAGAATTGTGGCCTAAACCATTGCCCTCAAAATGTGCAGTTACAAGCAGAGTGATCCGCCTGCCCTTGGTGACAGATTTTCTGGTCTGAAAAGTCAGGCTGACTTCCTGACCTGTCCCAGCAGTTTAAGACCCCAGTTAAAGTCACAAGGCCTTAATCACATGCTTAAATGCTTTGCTAGGATAGACTTCAGCATATGTTTAACTTGAAGCTTTCTGAAGTCAATGGGGCTTAAGCACATACTTAAATGTTAGGCATGCACTCAAGTTCTGTCCTGAATAGGGACTGGTTGAAGCATGTGCTTGCAGCATTTGATAAATTGGGAATTTCATGTGTCTTTCTCTTGAGGATATTTTCTGTTACCACTTCCATAATATTGATTATTTAGTTTCTTCAGTTGAGTAGGGTAGGATTTGCTTTATTTTTTTCCAGAGTACAAGGAGTGTTTCACAGCCTTAAGCCACTCAGAGTTCAAATAGAGACCCTCGCTTACACAGCTATATATGGCTAATTCCATCCTGTGCCCACTGTCTTCCAGTAAAGTCATGCCCATGTAAGCAGTGCCTTACAGGAAAGGTGTCAGAATGTAAACTCCCAATTAAAGAAAATACTGCTTAAATGGCAGAATTTGTGCCATCCATCACATGGGGTTTTTTTCTTTATGTCCATAATTGGTGTGGATAAAATTCAGTTAGTTGTTTATATAAACTGACATTTTTTTAGGCTTTCGCACCAAGAGCTGCATTGCAAATTATTCCTAAGGACGCTTTTGTTTAATTCTTTTTTTTTATGCCATGCAAGGCCTGTCTTTTTTCAAGGTGTCAGTGTGGAGAGAGAGAGAGGCTCTTTTATATTGGAAATAGCTGGAGATCCTTTTTATTTTTTTCTCCGGGTATTTGTCATGGGTTTTGTTATTGCCTGTTTGAATCAACCTGGGCTGAACTAAGGGGTGGTGTTTTCCTTCTCTTCATTTCTGAGATGGTGCAGGCATTGGCACATGTTGTGCTAGAAGAAAAGAAAAAAAACCCTCCCTCAGCAGGGCTGAGGACGTTTTCAGATTCCAGTGGGTTTTTACTCAATATGGCAAAGTTGCCCCGCTTTACCCAGAGGAAAGCAGGTTTTCAGCATTCCGTCCTCATCACAGCATTCCCATTCGCTGCACAAGTTTAAAATTATTGAAGTGAGAGTCTTGAACAGTGACAGGGAAAAAAGTCACTAGTTTCCTAAAGCCAGCTGAACATGGGGTTTAAGATTTGCTAGAGTGAAACCATTTATTACATGCTCAAAAGACAGTTTGGCCTAATGTTGCACCAGCATGCCTTACCTCCCAAAAGGACTAAAGAAGTAAATAACTTATTCCCACTCAATTTTATATTCCCCAAATAGATGAAACCCTGCTTTGTTCTGTGTCACTCCATGATAACAAAAAGCAACAGCATATATTAGTGTTCTGTTCTCTTTAAGAGCAGGAACCCAACTAACTGCTTCCCCAAGCAGACATGATTATCTAGAGCTGGTATTTTATCCTCCAGTCCTCCCTTTTTTTCTTACTAGTTCATGCCCAGAGAGTTGGTTTGTGTTTGGTTTTTTTTTTTTTTTTCACAACTGTTCTATGCTCTATCAGTCTTTAGATTGGGAATTAAAGTGATGACTTAATACCCCTAGGAGAAGCACACAAATGGAACTATTAAATGTACGTGTGCTACTCATGTATTTATTGCTGCTGGTAATAATGTCAGGCTGTTAAACGGCTGTGCTGATGACTCTTCTCTTTGGGCCTGGGGTAGGTGGGGTGTAACAAGGTCTATACAAGCACCTCTGATGTGATGACCCATGAGAACTTTCACAAGAAGAACACGCAGCTCATCAACGACGGGTTCCAGCGGTTCCGTGCCACGGAGGACTGTGGCACTGTGGAATGCCAGTTCTACGGGCAGAAAACCACTCACTTCCATTGCAGGTGAGACAGCAGGGGAGGGGAGGAGTCCTGCCTCAGAGCTGTGTGGTCTGTGTGCCTCCTTCTGCCAAGTCATAGTTTCAGGAGTATGCACAGGGACTTGATTTGCCCTGCTGTGACCTTCTCAGTATTGCTTCTGGGAGAACTCGTGTACCAGAGTAGATGTGAATTCCAGGATTGTGCCACAGACCACTCTGAAGGCAGGAGTATGATCTGAGGAGAGGATACCCACTGAGAAAACAGAGCCTAGAGTCATTTGGGAAAGAGACTACAGTGCTCTTCAGAGTGTAACTGTAGGCCATTAATACACTGCTAATGGCACTTCCATGGTAGGGTTCTCTCCAGCCAGCTCATCCCTTTTGGGGCCAGACTTAGCCTTCTGTACACAGCTGCTCTTCTGTTGATTCCTTAGGTTTTCAGGAAGAGTAGGAGAGCACAATTTGTATCTTAGTACCCTTTACTTTCTGTTTTGTTGGAACTTTTAGTGGAAGGTGCCTGTATTCCCATGTTCTTGTGGCAATTCCACAGAGTGGAGTGAGCTTCCCAGCCCTCCCACATGGCAGCATACCTGCTTGCCTGGGTGTCCCAGGTTACCCACAGGTAGCTCTCAGCCCCTCTGCAGCTGGGGCAGTGTTCTCATTAACAGCCCCAGTCTTTGTCCTAGAGGGAGGTGGGAGGCAGCAGCTCTGCCATCACAGCCAACCACCCTCTCCTCGATGCCCTTGCAGGAGACCTGGATGTACATTCACCTTCAAGAACAAGTGTGACATTGAGAAGCACAAGAGCTACCACATCAAAGATGATGCCTATGCCAAGGACGGCTTCAAGAAGTTCTACAAGTACGAGGAATGCAAGTATGAGGGCTGTGTCTACAGCAAGGCCACCAACCACTTCCACTGCATAAGGGCAGGCTGTGGTTTCACCTTCACCTCCACCAGCCAGATGACTTCCCATAAACGCAAACACGAGCGCCGGCACATCCGGAGCTCAGGAGTGCTGGGCCTGCCTGCCTCACTCCTGGGCTCCAAGGACAACGAGCAAGAGGAGTCCAGTAACGATGACCTTATTGACTTCTCTGCCATGAGCTCCAAGAACTCCAGCCTGAGTGCCTCCCCGACCAGTCAGCAGTCTTCCGTTTCTCTCATCGTCCCAGCTGCGCCTTCCTCTGCAGCTGAGCTTGCTTCCTCACAGGCCACCAAGTCTGCCAACAGCATGACACCAGCCACAAAGATCTCTGGCCTGCTTTCCCAGGCTCTTCCTAGCAATATACCCTTGGCCCTGGCACTCTCCAACTCAGCACTTCCTGGAACAGCTGGATCCTTCTTCCCCATCATCCCCAGTCGGGTCTCTACACCACTTCCTGCCAGCTCGGCTAATCTGATGACTGCTGGTTCTTCTGGCACCAATCCAGCATCGTCTGCTCCTACAGATTCCTCCTCCCAGGCAGTTTCAGGATCTGGTGATCCAGTGGCTACTTCTTCGCCTGCTCCAGCAGCCTCTATAATGGAAAGGATCTCTGCTAGTAAGGGATTAATCTCTCCTATGATGGCCAGGCTGGCAGCAGCTGCACTCAAGCCCTCTGTGGCACTTGAAGCAGGTGAGTTACCTCATCAGTTGTGATAGTGGTGGGAGGCAGAGCAGTGCCTGATGGCTTGGGGAGAATGAATGAGAAGACACCCAGTTGTCCATGGAACTGCAGTTGGGAAGGGGGTAGAAAAAGAAAATAAATGTGAGAATGAATTTGGTTGTGTTTCATTAACCCTTGAGGAAGGCAGTCTTGGCAAGGTTTCTTGTGGAGCCTGCCTTATGCCCACATGGCCAGAAGAGGCAAGAAACCTTTTTGCCCATGAAGGGAGTAGGCTCTTACCAGAGCTGAAGAGTGTTGCCGTGTGTAATTGGCTATAGGCTGAAAAGAGAGAGGTACTGTATTGAAAATAGAAATGAAGAAAAAATATCTTAGCCAGTACTTTCAGGCTCTACTGAGACTGTATCAAGCTTTAGCTAGACCTGGTGTTGATGGTCCTGCAGCTCATGGCCAGTTATTTTCCTGATCTGGGGGCTGTTCTGTGTTCAGCTTTTTTGTCCCAGCTGTGGGTTTGGGGATAGTGTTGGTACAGTCCCCAGACAGGACCTCCTTTTTGGTCAGTTCTTGCAAGCTGTGCTCCTCCCTCCCTGTGCTACCTGAGGGGTAAAAGATGGGAAGGGGAAGTGCCCTGGGCAGGGCAGGGCAGGGCTGGGCTGGGCAGGGCTGGGCTGGGCTGGGCTGGGCAGGGCAGGCAGGGTTGGGCAGGGCTGGGCTGGGCTGGGCAGGGCAGGCAGGGTTGGGCAGGGGCCGGGCAGTCCATGCCAGGCACACCCGCAGTGCTGGGCTGAGCCCAGAGCTGGGCTAAACCTGGAGCTGGGCTGAGCCTAGAGCTGGGCTGAGCTCAGAGCTGGGCTAAACCCGGAGCTGGGCTAAACCCTGAGCTGGGCTAAACCCGGAGCTGGGTTAAACCCTGAGCTGGGCTAAGCCCTGAACTGGGCTAAACCCAGAGCTGGGTTAAACCCTAAGCTGGGTTAAACCCTGAGCTGGGCTAAACCCCGAGCTGGGCTGCCCAGGCTGTGCTGCTGATGGCCCCGTGTGCCCAGGAGGAACGGGGGAGTAGAAGGAAGTGATCTGATTAAAGAGGGAGGGGAACCTTCACATACTTTTGAAATTATTGTTTGAAAAATTGTTTCCTAAAGCAGAGAAAGGTCATTGAGGGAACTGTTTTCCTTTATTTTTTAATAAAATGCCACTTGCTGTCTGAGAAGCAGCTCGCCGTCAGCTGTACTGCCGGAGGGTAAATTAATATTTTAGTCACTTGGGGATTGTGGAAAAAAGCTCTGCAGACATGTTTCTGTCAGCAACTTTTTTTCCCTCCTTTTTTCTTTGCCGTTTTTCCTAATTTTTTTCCTTCAATTTGTTCTCTCACATCCCTCCCCCCTCCATTTCCTCTCCTCCTTTAATTCGAATTGTTCTTCCACGGGCTGGGCGCTGGGCCTGCTCCCGAGAAGGGATCATGCCGGTTTTTGGGGGACACGGGCAGGGCTGGCAGGGCTGGCAGGAGGTCGCGGTCCCTCATGTCACCTTGGCTCGTCCCGGCGGGCAGAGGCTCGGCCGGGCCGCGCTGTCGCCACAGCAACGCCGGGGCTGGGGACGAGCAAGGGGGCTTGACTAGCAGTCGAAAGCTGCCACATTGCCTCAGCATTAACAGAGTCTTTAATAAACGCTTAAGAGGCAGCCCCGCAAATTAGTTATGACAGTTTGTGCAGAGAATCAGGTCTCCCCCACGCTCCTTCCGCCCTTCTCCTTTAAAGGGCCCGTAGCCTGGACAACTTTGACATAATTTTGCAATAATTATCACTTGAAGAATTTCCACACTGGAGTGGACGTCAGAACCCATCATGTCAACTTGGCAATAAACGCTGACCAGCAATCCCAGTACTTCCCTCCCCCACACACTTTTTTTTGCTTTTTCCACTTAGGCACTGATGCCAATGATTTAACTTACTTATTTGCTGTTGTAACCTCATTTTAGACCTATGCTTTTAATTTATTTTTTTGCACATCATTTCCCTGTATTTCTTGAGCAGGTAATGGACAACCAGCACCTCCCGGACGGTTCAATCCAGTCCAGGTGAAGCAGGAACCTGCGGAGGCCATGGGACCCACATCTGCCACCAGTCAGGACCCCTTGCAGGAGCACAGCTTGGACCTGAGCGTCAAGGACCACGGGTGAGAGAAGTGGGCAGGCAGGAACACTCAGAACTTCCCAGCATCAGGCTTTGGGAAGTTTCCATACCTGTAATTCAAGAGGACACAGCATGTTGGTGAAAGGCAGCTTCACAGTGGTTGAGTTGAACACCCCAAAACTAAAAGCAGGCAGGCTCACTCTGCTCCCCATTCTCCAGGTGGTTTTTTGGGCTCACAGGCACCTACTGACTCTTCAACAAGAGCTTCACATCTTCTGCTCCCTTCTGAAAATCAAGCTGCTGGCAAAGCTGTTTTCACTTAGTCCTCTTATCAATTGCTGACTGAAACTGCTCCACTGCCACACCTCAGCACACTCTTAGCAGCAGCATTTGCACTGCTGTAGTCTGTTGAATCAGGGCTTAGGGAAGCACATTCCAGAGAATCTGGACACACAAAGCTGGGTGTCAGGCTCACTCTGCTCTGGGTCTGGCGTAGGCTGCTCTGCAGTTCTGGTGATGGTTGTGCAGATGTCAGCGTACCTTTCTCAAAGCATGTGTCCCACCTGCCCAGCATCTCTGCTGAGAACAGGAGTATTTGAGGATTGTGCTGTGTGGAAAAAGAGCAGAGGAACTTATCCTGGGATAAGTGAGCTCCACTTTGACCTTTGTTTCCATTCCTGTCCATACCTTATTTAAACAAACCTCCCTTTGCACTTGGAGCCAACTGCAGAGATCCTAAGGCTGCCTTTCAGTGCAGGATTGTGCCTTGCCTTCCTTACTGCCCCTGTCCCTGGCAGCAGAGCCTTTGTCAACATCCCCCCCTGCTTGGGTGGTATTTTTGTGGTATTTCTGAAAATTCTAATGGGATGAAAGGATAAAACCTGGGGGAGGTCATGAGCAACAAATGAAGTGTGATGGAGTGGACAACGGAGGAAGAGGTCCAGGCCATTTAGTAGTTGAAAGATCTAAATTTTGCAGACCTGAGACCCTCTTTCTGTCCCTCTTGGCTATCACAAGTAGGTGAGTTTGGCCTGCCCAAGGGAAGGTTGGCATCATTCTTTTCCCCTGGATGTCGTAGGTGAGGAGCGAGGCAGCCTGAAGGGAGGAGGATTAATCTCAGCTCTCACAGTCCCTGTGCACATCTTAACTAAACCCTGTTGGTTTGTGTGTTTCAGTAATGAATCAAATGGCCACACAGTCTCAGCAAATTCATCTCTTTTATCCTCGCTTATGAATAAGGTAAGAGCCATCCATCAAACGCCTTTCATTCCCCCCACCAAGAGAAATTAAAGCTGCGATAGCGGGGAAGGGGGGGAAGAGATGCGTTTGTTTTTTAATGTTTTGCCTCTAATAAGATGAGTTTGTACCATTTAAATTTTGAGACCATTTTTCATCGGGTATAATTTCAGAGCCACTGCTTACGAATTAATTTAATGAACTGGCTGAAGAAATATATTGCCGCCTCTGACACCTTTTTTTTTTCCCATCCTTTCTAGACAGAGGAGGGCTCCAAAAGCTTTTCTTTTCTTTTCTTTTCTTTTCTTTTCTTTTCTTTTCTTTTCTTTTCTTTTCTTTTCTTTTCTTTTCTTTTCTTTTCTTTTCTTTTCTTTTCTTTTCTTTTCTTTTCTTTTCTTTTCTTTTCTTTTCTTTTCTTTTCTTTTCTTTTCTTTTCTTTTCTTTTCTTTTTTTTCTTTTCGACGGTGTTGGGTTTTTTATTTGATTTGGGTTTGTTTGTTTTTGTTTTCAGGACCTGGAAACTTCTCTCTCACTTCCCTTTTATAGTTATTAATTTTGTTTACTTACTTAAAAACATTTTCCTTCATTTGGGGAGGGAGATAATAATCTGTGTGTATGAAAGAGAAGAAAAAATTAGAAGTTTTGAACAAAATCATCAATTTCTGTCTTTCTGGTGTGAGTAATGGTATCTAACAGAGTCCCCTTTACTGTGTCCTAGAATATTTATTTTAGATGATGCACAGTCTCTTTGTTTCCTTACTTTTTCGTTAAATTATACATCACCTCAAATGTATATTTCTCTTTCACATGATAAATTCTACTGTACTAAGATTAATTCTGAGGCTGTATACAACTGCTCTAGAGATCAGGGCACCCTTTGAGCCATGCTGTAATATTCTGCTATGTGATAGGTTTTATAGGCATAACTATTGCCATCCCCTTGGCTCTGGGTGTTACATGGATCAGGGCCATATAACCCTCAAGAGAGGGCAAAATGACTTTGCCTGGTAATCTCCCACCTCCTTTCTTTCTTATCACTGTTTTTTTCTATGCTGTTTAATTTCTGCATTTATCCTTACGTCACTTTTCTCCTCCATTGGCTTTCTGTTACACTGAGATTTTGATTTTATCTTTTAAACTTAATTTCTTATTTGTTTCTTTGTATTGTCCCTTTAGTGTTTCCAAATATTCAGGTCTTTCTTCAGTGAGCAAATGTCTTTTAGTAGCTCTGCTCTCTTGGGTCATGGGCCATTCTGAAGGTCCCAGATCAGAGAAATTCTCTTTCAATCGAGGCTTCCCTTGAAAATCTCCAGGATAATATGTGATATAAGTATATGTTTAGAAAAAAGCATTTCTTTGTGTGCAGTCTGACGTAAGATTCTTAAAGTTGAGCAAAGCAAATGTAGCACAGGTGCAAACCAGGAGTCAGGTTCAAGGACTGGGATTAACCAATGAGATAAACCAGCAAAGAGTAGAACCCACTGTGTGTGTGATTGATGGAACCAGTTCCAAGACTAAAGATTGCAGAATCAAATCCTTCATTGTTTTTTGAGGGAAAAGAACAGGGAAAAAAAACTTTACAGAAATGGAATTACCAGTGGAAACACACGATTTGAATTTCTGACTCCAACCATAAAGAGTTGCAATCTCCACGCAGCAGCAGGGGCTTTACCTTCAGGGGGCATTAAGAGAGCCTCAAATAACCAGGATTCCTGAAGCCTATTGCAGTTTATTTAGGGGGTTGTCAGGCTTAATTAACTGATATTTATAAAGGGCTCTGAGACCCTCAAGTGGGTGGAGCTTCCAGTGCAAGTGTTGGGCCCAACCCTGCATTTTATTCAGGCTGTGAAATTCACGTTGTTACTGGAGGTAATTGAGAGCACAACAGAGAAAGAAAGAGTCTGGGAAATCATGCATTTATTCTGAAAGAAAATTTTCCCTCTAGGCAGGCTTGAGTAACTTCATTTTTCTATCCTGTACATTATACACCTGGATCTCTAAACCTTCTCTGTGTAGATTCTATTTGAAGCCTTTCACACAGTGCAGATTGTGAGACCAAGTCCTGCTTTGTGGAGGATATGTCCATTTAGCACAGAAAAGTGACACGATTTTATCATTGACATTAGTAAGAATTTTCCAGGAATTTGAGACAGATTTTTTCCCCAGTTGCATGAGATTTTCATCCTTCTACCCCTCACACATACCTGATAGTCACTTTAAAGGAGACATCCTTGTGGCTGGGATAAGATGACCTAATAAACTGGAGTTTGCCAGTTCTACCACCAGGAATTTGTAGGAGCTACAGAGAGCTTTTGCTGTTGAAGCCCACACCCCTTTTGCATAGTCAGATGGGGGATGTCTCTCTCCACCTCAGTTTCCTCATGGATAAAACAGACAGGATGCTTCATTACTTTAACAAGATCCATGAATAAATATTCAGTGGACACCTGAGTGCTTCATGATGGTTGGGTGGAAGATGCAGAAGAGTGAGGTGTTACTAACTTTTGCTGATGCAGGTGGAGCAGCCTGCACAGCCTTTTTGTCTTCTCTTTTAACCTTTGAAGACACTGCTCTCTGTTGGGACAGGCCTGGGGGTAGCTGTGTCTGTGTGCTGGCTTGATGCAATGTGTGTGTTCTTGTTCCAGATGTCCAAGACCAGTGCCAGCCTTGGCAACCTGCTGAACATAAAGACAGAAGGCGAAGGCAGCCAGGCTGGGGCTGGGGAGCCAAGCCAGTACTTGGGCAAGGCAGTGAAGGCCCTTGTCCAGGAGAAGCTCTCTGAGCCGTGGAAGATGTACCTGCGCCGGTAAGGACAGCACGGAGCTGGGAACAGAGGAAAGGGGAAGGTGCTTCCTTTGCAAAGTGTCTGACTCACTGGCTCACCCTGAACACAGAGTTCTGTTGGATGTAAAGGCCTGATTCTGTCAGACACTGATCACCTGGAGCACATTTAGCACTTGGTCATACCTGCCTGCACCAGGTGTTAACGTCTGCTTAGAAATACCTGCCCACATAGAATTATTTTGCAAAGGGGTCTTGAGAACCAGATAAAAGCACAGATCTTCATGTAGTTGTGTTATCCTGGGCTTCAGCTTAGGCTCCTCCTTATGACCCTGCAGTGTGAGCCCAGGGGACTCAGTGTAGCTCTTAGCACTGGGGCTGTGTGAGACCATGGCCACTTACTACTCACAGGCCACTGGTGCCTTGACACGCTTCCTGGGGCATTTCAACTGAAACTAAACAAGTTTTGGGGATGTGGAGGCATGGGAGTAAGGAAAAGGGTCTGCGAGCTGGGATGGTTTCTGCTGCTTTTGTTGTAGGAAAGGAGACTCAAAAAGAAAATGGAGCAGTTACAAAGCTCACCCACATACAGACACGTGCACAAACGTGCCCAGACAGACACGTGCTCTGAGGGCACACAGGTACACCCAGGCAAACACAGAGGTTTGTGCTCTGACACAGAGAGTCACCTACAAATGCCACTGCACACTCTGTGAATCAAAGGCTTTAATGGACAGCACTCGAAAATCTTCTAGTCCATCAGCCCCTGGCTGGTGTGAGATCCTTCCCAGCAGTCCATTTGCATTTTGTCTGGTCTGGTTGTAATAGTGCCATGCAGTGGGGCTATTTTCTTGTCTCTGGGAGTATTATTCTGCCACTTATTAAGTTTCATTGTCACAACCTTTTCCATGGTAGGCTGTCTGAATTCCACTTCTTATAGTTTTGTTGCAGCTCTGTTTATATCCCTTGAACCACAGCAGATCATCCCTCTCTGCAGCTGGAGTTCAGCCCCTTCAGACAGTCCCAAACTGTAGCAGTCCATTTAACCAGGCTCACTTTCCTCCTTTAATCTGACTCTGCATTAGACCCTTGTGCTTGCTGGTCCTGTTGCTTTCCTGTTGTTCCCTGGATGGTGCAGAATTCCCCACCCCTGACAGAACAAGCTTCCTGCCCCCAAATAGGCAGCTCAGAATTTGTTTGTATCTACACAGAATAGTGTAGAGTACCATGGTTATCATCCTCTGTGACACAGAATTGCTTTTAAAGGTGTTTAGTGAGTCCCCAGTGTATAAAACACCCCCCACGCCCAGCTGTATTTGTTTTGTGTTTCCAAACATGATTCTCCTGTTCTGAACGTTCCCCCTTGTCTTGCCAAACCTCTCTGTGCTCTTTTTCTGCTCTTGCACTGGTATTGCCACCTCCTCCCAGTTTAGTATCTTTGTGAATTTCATAAACACACTGTTTACTGCTAGATTACTAATTAAGATGTGAAATAAACTCAGACTAACCCAAGCCCTCCTCTCAGCACTCACACGATGCCTCCTCCTCCCAGCTCAGTGTGGTGCTGGTTGTCATCAGCCTTTGTTTATGGTCCCTCAGCCAGTTTCAAGCCATGAGGTGGCATTACATCCAGGCCAATTTGAATTAATTCTGAGCATATGCAAGACTGAATCAAATGCTTTACTAAAATCCAAATATATTGCATCCCTTCGTCCACTAATTTTGTAATTCTATCAAAAAAAGCAATTAAATTTGTCTGGCAAGATTTATTCTTTATAATCCTGATGCTGTTTATTGCTCATGGTTCCTTTCTCCTCTAGATGTTTAATGATTTTCTCCTCCCTCTTAATATTTGTTCCATTACTTTACTGGAAGAAGAAGTTAAGGCCAGAGGTATGATAATTGCCAAAGATGGCTTGTCTTTTCTTTTTCCCCTCAAAGAACCAGTACCTGGACTGTTTCATTTCCTTTTTTTTTTTTTTTCCCACTTATGTAGTACCTCCCACTTCTCTATGGCTTAAAAACCAGCAAATGGTAATGTAATCAGTTTGGGAGTTAATTTCCATTGCACTTCAGGACATATATCATCCAGACTGACTTGATTTGTGCATTTTTATATATTTCGAATGAGTCCCTTTATCTGCTCTTCTAGAAGGCATTCACTACATCCCCAGTTCTCTGCTTTGTCTTTAGTTTTCTCATCCAAAGCAAATTTTATCATGCAGCCATTTTTGATTCATCACCTCCTTTTTGTGGGAGGCCTTCTTCCTAGGTTCAGCACTTCTTGTCTCTGCTAAAACAGCCCCTTTAGTTTGCAATAACGTGGTTTCTTCTCTTACCCCACAATTACTTTCCTTCCTCTTCTCCCTGCAAGCCATAACTGACAGCACATGTAGTATATCCACAGACCTTCCTTCTCCAGTACAAGTTTTTTCTCTTTGCTTTGCCCTCCCATTGGTGAGAGGTCCCTCCTGGGACCATACAGGCTGCTGTTTGTCTCTTGCTTTCCTGCTCATCAGAGCAACTGTAGTTTGTTGTACCTTAATTATGCAAGATTCCCTTGTTAAGTTTCAAATCCTTCCTGCCAGTGTTTCTTACTTGTTTTCTTGATTCCCTGTGATTCTGGAGTTTCCTAAAATCACGTGTATTTGTGCTGCACTTAAGTCCAGAGAAGCTCAGCAGTGGGTGAGCAGTGACACCACGCTGAGCTGCTTTTGCCCTCTTGGCCATTTGGTCCAAGATAACACAAGACATATCTTGGATAACGTGGTGGGTTTTGCTCTGGGCTGTGCATGGCAGGGTTGTTGTTCTGTACATCAGGGATGGTGCTGTGCAGTATTTCTGCAGTCCAGGCTGTAATTGCTGATTGCTGCTTAGATGATGCTTCATCTCTCCCATCTGAGAGACACCCTCCTGGGCCAGGGCAGGGGGCGGGTGGATCCTGGATTTGGAATTACTGTTGTTGGTGGGAATGCTAATAGAATTGAAAAATACAGGAAAAAAATGTTTGTTCCAACTCCACTCCTCTCCTGGGGCCTTCCCTAAGATGTCTGCTTGTCTGTTTTGGCCAGGTTTGGCACCAAGGATTTCTGTGATGCCCAGTGTGACTTTCTCCATAAGGTGCATTTCCACTGTGTGGTGGAGGAGTGCGGGGCCCTCTTCAGCACCCTGGATGGAGCCATCAAGCACGCCAAGTGAGTGGGAGAGCAGAGGCAGAGGAAGCTCTGCAGTGCACACTGCAGCTCAACACCCCCAGGTTCCTTTTAAAGGCACTGCAATGGCCAAGTGAAGGCCTTCAGTGGCCATTCACTTGCCTGACTCTGAAGGGGTTGTAGGGAAGGAGATGCTGCAAATGTTAAGGCAGATTTGCTAGCATGGTTGGTCTTTCCTGTTGGATGGTTCCCTGCAGTTCACTGTAGGAAATGTCTGGGGGAAGCTGCCCCACAGCTGATCTCAGTGACTGCAGTGATTCTGGGGTTTCTCTAATTTTAATATGCTTTGGCACCTGTCTCCACCCATCCTAAGGATTTCCCTTCTCTTCATAGGTGATTTAGGATGGCCCTAAATCTTACCTCAAAGTCTGCAGAGCCCTTTTTAGGATTTATCCACACCAGTTTGTTGACAGGCTCCTGCCACATTCTTGTTGGTGTTACATCAAATTACATGAAATGGCCAAGAATTTGTGTCTGAATTAGTATCATGTTTTGCAGTTTTCACTTCCGAACTGAAGGTGGAACTGTGAAAAGCAACTCTGAGTCTCCCTTCTCAACTGCTCCTGAGAATAAGGCTTCACTGGCCCCTTCATCACCATCTGCTGCTTCTGCCACCATGGCCAGTGCTCCTGCCCTTGACGTGCCCACTCCAGCTCCAGCTGCTATGCCCTCTGCTCCCACACTACTTGCTTGGAAGCAGCTGGCTTCAACCATACCCCAGATGCCTCAGATCCCAGCATCAGTGCCTAACCTGGCAGCTTCACCCTTGGCAACGACTTCCCTGGAGAATGCCAAGCCTCAGGTCAAACCTGGATTTCTTCAGTTCCAGGAGAAGTAAGTTTTAGCTACCATTTGCCTCCTTCTGTCCTCCCCAGCCAATCTTTCCTCAGAGCTGCAATGCTACACTTCTGCTCACCCACTGAGAAACCTGTCTAGAAAGTACTCTGGGCTTGACTTCACAGAAAATTTACTTCTCTGAGGTCTAGGAAATGCTTTAAGGTTTTTGAGTGCATCTAAGAGCACTTTTAGGCATGAGTTTAGAAGATAAATAAACTTGGTGATCTACCTATCACTGATCCCTGTTTTATCCCTTGTATACAGGTATCTTTGCAGTGTGTTTGACAGTGAAGGGTTATTGGGCCAGAAATTCATGCACTGACTGGGGGGTGGAAGGTACCAAAGCCCATTAGCTGATGAGAGGGGCAGTGCTGGTTTTGTCAGATCAGAGGAAGCCCCTGCAGTGGGCACACTCAAGAGTTGTGTTTCCTTTTAACTTTAAATTGGGAAAGTGACCCTCGAGGGCTACAGAACCCATTGTGTTCCAACAGTCCTAACCAAGAAAGTGCAGTAGTTGGGTGGAATTGTAGTAATTCAGCCAGCCTCAATTTCCCTGAAGAGGAACGTGGCTATGGGAAATCTGTGGGCCATGTTTGGAACAGAGGCTTCAGCTGGGCTCCCCTTGAATTAAATCTTGGCAAAGAAACAAACGTGTGAAATGAGTGAAGGTGATGATTGGGTTTTGGATGTATTCCAGTGATCCCTGCTTGGCAACAGACTGCAAGTACGCCAACAAATTCCACTTCCACTGTCTCTTTGGGAACTGCAAGTATGTGTGCAAAACCTCTGGCAAAGCAGAATCCCACTGCCTGGACCACATCAACCCCAACAATAATCTGGTGAATGTGCGAGACCAGTTTGCTTACTACTCCCTGCAGTGTCTCTGTCCAAACCAGGTAAGAGCCATTCCAGAGCAGTGTTCTGGCAGGACTGGGGAGAAGGAGATGTAGGATCCTGCTGAATCTCCAGCAGGAAGTGAGGCTGTGTGTGGCTTTCTTGGCGTTACTGCAGAACCGTGGAAGTCATAATTACGTGGTCTGGAAAAACATTTGGTTTTTATCAAATGGGAAATCATGATGCTTTTGTGGTTTTTTGACTCGGGTGAAGTGGACAAGGGAATGAGAATAATCTGAGAGACATTAGATGAAATAGAATAAAGATCTGTGATGAATCTGTGGTGAATCCAGGGAAAGCCATGAGTAAGCTTTGGGATATCTCAGCGTAGAATAGCGTATTACAGAGCACACGACAGCAGTGTAAAAAGACTCGAGAGGGAACAAGGTGCATGGCAGGTTGTGGAAGATGAAATGGGATCTGGAGTATCAGTGCAGGCCCCTCTGACACATCAGAAGGGACACCATTAGTAGCAGGCAATTGAGGGTGCATTTGTCTTAGAGCTGCCTAAAGCACCGTGCCTGTGTGCTCCCCTCCAGCACTGTGAATTCCGGATGCGAGGGCATTACCACTGTCTGCGTCCCGGCTGCTACTTCGTGACTAACATCACCACCAAGCTGCCCTGGCACGTGAAAAAGCATGAGAAGGCAGAGAGAAGGGCAGCCAACGGCTTCAAGTATTTTACCAAGCGGGAAGAATGTGGCAGACTGGGTGAGCTGTGCTCCGTTTCTCATGTGGTGTGTCCCATGTCCATAAGTAAAGGTGGATGGATGTAGATAAATAAGTAGAAGTGAGCCTGTCTGTAGGTCTCTACCTCTGTGCATATGGCCAAGGGAGGATGGCAAACAGCAGATCCTGATCACTGATGTAGCTGTGTTTGAACTGTGACAAGCCACTGTTTATCAGCTGTACAGCGTGGCTGTCTGGGGTTGTCCTTCAATGGTTTGTGCACGCCTGGCACACCTGGCTGTGGCCACAAGGAGCAGAACGTGTGAAGTGCTGGATGCCAGAACCCATATGAATTGCTTGTTGTTCAGTAGCTGACCCTATTGCACAACAGTTTTGGAGTGGCAAGAAACACTTCCTGGCTCATTCCTGTCTGACCAGAGTGCACACACTGTACAGAGCTAGAGGTGATATGAGACTGCTTTTCTGAGAGCACAGTTAGAGGGGAAAAAGTTTTAATTTCCAATCTAATTATGAGTGCGTATTTTGATTGTAGCTTCTATGATACAGGGACGAGGGGTGGGACTAGGCTGAGGTCGTAGATCTCTGTACACTTGCAGTTGCTCAGCAGGCAGTAGATCGTGAGTTTGGGTTTTTTTCATTCAATAACCCATGACCACTGATAACGTTCTGCCCGATCATCTTCCCTCTGGTCCTGCTCCCTCTCAGAACCTTCATGTGCAACTTGAGTGTGGGTTTTGTGTCTGCAGGTTGCAAATACAACCAGGTGAACAGCCACTTCCACTGCATCCGAGAGGGCTGCCAGTTCTCCTTCCTGCTCAAGCACCAGATGACATCCCATGCCAGGAAGCACATGAGAAGGATGCTGGGGAAGAACTTTGATCGTGTTCCTACTCAGGTAACTCCTTGTTGCTGAAGCTGTAGATCCAGAGGCAGTGTTGGCCCCTTTGGCTGCAGAGCTGCTGCAGTGCCAAAACACTTGTACCCAGACTCTGAGGGATGTGTGTCTGCACTGGGGGATGCTGCTGGGCCGTGGGGTACCCAGTGACTGGGTTCCACTAACAGCACGTGCCAGCTGTCCCTCATGAACTGTGGCAGAGGGAGATAAACGTGCAGACAGGTTTTGGTCCTGCTGTCTTGCTTTTGGTGTGAAAGTCCCCGTCCTGTTTTGCTGCTGCAGGTTATTGGCCACACTCCAAGAAATGAAAATCTCCCCCAGGTTGGCAGCATGGCACCCAGCCCAGCCTCATCAGGAACCCCAGCTTCCTTTCAGGGACCCCCAAGCATGATGGACACTGAAACAGAAGAGTACATGGATTACACTGGCTGCAGCCCTGGGGGCATCTCCTCTGAATCTTCCAACATGGACCGCAGCTGCTCCAGCACTCCTGTGGGCAATGAAAGTACATCAGCAGGTAAGGGAGAAGGGGGTGTGTGAAATGGATCATCAGTTGCCTGCTCTCCTGGGAGATAAACTCATAAAAAGAGGCCAAGGGACAGCTGCACCTTAAAATACACACTGTGCCAACTTCAGTAGTGCCTCACACTAACCCAGCTCTCTCCAGCACCTGAGAGAAGGGGTCCATCAAAATATACACATCAAGCATCCAGGAACTTAGAAGCATACCCTTTTCCTCCCATGAAGAGAGGTTTTTATCCTGGGTCTTGGAGTTGGGTATATTTTAATAGTTGACTTTCAAAAACAAACAAAAAAAAAATAGAAAAAAGAAACTGTGGGCCCCTTCTGTACTTGGAATTTTCTCTGGTACCTCTTTGTATTTTCTCAAGCAGCATCCAAAGTCAGGTACTTTATTGTTCTGGTGAAGTACAACAGCAGATTGACATACACAGGGGATAAAACCTATCACATCATCAGAAAGCAGCATCTAAAAGCAGCTCACTGAGCTCCCTTCCTCACCCAGAAACTCTTGTTCCACTTTGTGCAGTTGCACGGAGCAGACCCCCTTCATCTCCTCTTTTGGAAGTTAAGTTCCTGCCCTGTTTGCCAGGATCAGGCAGAGCCATCTCCCCCTGCCCTGCATTGCAGGGTCAACTCCTCAGGAGTCAGACACCTGGTAGGAATTCTGCCATCGTACAGTGATGACCAGGGATCTCTCAGCTGTACCTTCCCAGGGTTTAGTGGGATATTCTGCACAGGCTGCCTCAGCTTGCTTTAATTCCATACATATTTTCCTGGTTTTCTTCCCCCACCCCGGTTAAAGGCCATCACAGCAGTCCCACTGCAGGAGCACTGCTGGTCATGGCACTGCCCCATGGCACCTCCAGAGGGTTCTGGTGGGGCACTGGTTCCTGGCACACTCTTCTGTGCCAGCAGTGGCCCAAGTGCCAGGGAATGTCCCCCACTGCTCTCCAGGCAGGGAGCAGCTCCACCTGCCCCAAGTGCCAGAGCACCCTTACAGCTGTTAACTGAAGCAGGAACAACCCTATAGATGAACAAGGACCCGAATGACCAAATGAATCCAGAATTCCTGCCTGAAAGCCTGTGTCTCTTCCCCTATACCATTAAGCCACTTTAACTCCTGCAGAGACAGCTCTCCTCTTCCTGGTGCTGTCAATTCCTCACCTTCTGTTTCTTCTCTGTTGCAGTTCTGTTTCATACATTTGTGAATGTATTTTCCATTTTCATCGTATTGCTTTTGCTCTTGGGTTCTCATTTCAGTTCTTTTGTTTCTTGTTTTGTTGGTTTTTGTTTTTTGGTTGGTTTTGTTTTGTTTTATTGTTTTTTCTTTTCTTTTTTTTTTTTCCTTTTTTTTCTGCTTTTTTTTCTCTCCACATTCTCCAGGCTGCCTGGTTCCTTCTACTGCTACTGCTGCTGCCGATGATGCCACCCACACTGCACCACAACCTCCACCACCATCTCTGCCTCCATCTTTCTCACAAGCCCTGCTTAGGTCTCCCCTCCCCACCCTGCCCTACCTCTTCTCTCCATCTTGTCTCTCGTACTCCCTGCTCAGTGCCACTCTGGGAGCCAGCAGAGGCATTGTCATGCCTGCCGCCAGCACCGCTGGGTTCTCGCCCATCATTGCCACTCCAACTCCAGTAAAAAGTGACGTTCCCTTAGTGCAGGATGCTGCAGGTAACACTTCTTTGCTTTCTCTCCATGTCCTGTGCCCAGCTCTGTCCCCACTCACCCTGCCCATGGTTTTGCTCTGCACCTTTGGGTGGGTAGAGCAGCAAAGGTCACTCTGTGTTTAGCAAATGTCACCCAAGGGCCCATCAATGCTTGCTCCTTTTCCTTGCTGACACAGTAACCACAGCCAAAAAACAAACACAAACCACAGCAAATCATTCATTGACATTTGGTCTCAGTTATTCAACTGAGAGCAATTGCCACCAATTCCTAACTGTGAGAAAAACCTAACAAAACCCACAGTTAACGTGCATTTTCAGTGTCTTGGTAACCTCAAAGTGGCCACAGAGCAAACTTTCGCTCATGTGGCATGAATGGGACTTGGATTTCTTGGTTAGATCTTGCAGGCCACCCAAACCAGTGCCTGCCATGGTGTGCTGCACACATGTCAGCAGGTGAATGTCTGATGAGGTACCCAGGTCCTGTGTTTTAGCTGATCTTGCAAACTTCATAGGAAGCCACAAAGTTCAAGGGTGCCTTCCCAGGATGAGGAGTGAAGTACAGGCAGTGTCACATAATGTCATCATCAGAAGGTTGAGCCGTTTCTCAAAGTCATTACTTACCAAGGCTCTAATCAGCTGCAGAAAATACAGATTTCAGTTTTAAGCTGCCATGATTCCCATGTGTGACTAAGATCAGAGATGTCTCAGGCTGGGTATTCTCATTCCATCTGGGAATGGCTTTTAGGGTGTGTCTCATTTTTGGCTTCTTTTCCCAACTCCTAGCTCTTTTCTAGTTAATTAAGGACATCTTTGTGCTTTAAGCTCACAATTATGAGGCTTCTGGCAGCCTACAAATGTCCCAGTCATTCTTCTGTCAGTTGCAGTAATATGTAAATCCAAGGTCATAGGTTGGGAGTATGGCTGGAGCACCAACTCACAGGTTTCCAACTCCAGTTCATAGGTTTTTCTCAATGGACTTGGCAGAAGGATCCTTGCCTTGTCCAGAGGAGTGTGTGCCAATTAACAAAATTCACAAGAAACTATCTTCGCTTCTTTTTTAACTGAACTGCATGCAGCCTGAAACATTTTAACCTTATGCTGTGCTTCCTCTAATCAAATATTTTTGTGTCTTTAGTTTTTACCTTGGTATGGTTCGATGAATGCTTACAATATTAGTGGTTAAAGAAATAACCTTATGGAAGACACTTACCACTGAGATTTGGCGGGGATCACATCCACTGAGGCTTGTAATCTTTTACAGGGTGCAGGAACTGAATGTTGGCAAAAGAGGAGAGTGCACCAAAGTGTCATCTCTCTTTATTATGCCCTTACTCCAAAACTTTACCTGTATGAGAAAACAAAATTGGTTTTCAACTAAAGTTTTAAGCACATCTGTTTGAACTATTTTAAAAGCTGTGGAGGTATAGAGTTTTAAACAGGTAAAATTTAAATTCTAGTTATTTCCCATCCAGAGTCTTTTCTTTAAGATGGGTTATCCCATATTCCCATCCAATGACAGACAATATGAGCATTAAGTAATTAATGCTAAGAGACTTGATGGTTTGGCTGTAATTTTATTAAAATGAGTTAATCTGAGCGGCAGCAATTTGTCCAGGCACCACTGCACTTACATGAGTTGGCTGGGAGTGGAGAACTGGTTTTTTCAATACCAGATGAAATACCAGATGTTTAGGGGGGAGCAGAGAGCAAATTGGTCACAGATTCTGTAGTTAAGAGCCTGCCAATTTCAAATCTCCAGTGACAGAAAGTTATTCTTTCACTGGTAGCTGGTTAAATCAGCCTTAGCGTGCAGTTGCACCACGTCACTCCAATGGCCTCACCATGGATGAGTGACACAGGGCCTGAGCTGCTGTCCTGAGCTGAGCACAAGAGCCACAAGTGGTGTAGAAAAGCCTCTGTTCTTTGCTTATCCCACAAACTGTACAGCCCAGCCACGTGGGAGAGGAGGTTCCACTGCCACTGGGAGTGTGGGAGGTTTCCTTCAGTGGCTGAAGGGCTGTCCCTGAGGGGTCGTCACCTGTGATACCTGTTTCAGCAGCAAGAGTAAAAAAAAAAAAAAAAAAAAAAAAAAAAGTATGTGTTAGTTGCAAACGATAAAGCTATAATTTCTAATTACACTCACAGTTCTGCACCTGGTGAGAAATTCTTGCCTCCAACCTTATCTGTGCTGCATGTTGATACCGGAGCTTGTGGACTGAGTCTGGAAACAGCAAGCACAGAAGTAAAAAAGTTAATAGATAGATGGAGGTCCTTGATGTCAGTGATCCTAGGGGACATGAGCACTAGCCAGTTATGCTGGCCCTGGAATCAAAGTGGAAGATAGATGAGGGATCTTTCTTTATACTGGGGCATCATGGAATTTTTGAGACCCAAGGGAATGCTGCAGAGTTGGTATTTTCTCTGAGTCCACTGGCTAGTGATGATGAGAATTAGCCCCGTTGAACATCTGTCCATCTGTCTTTCTGAGTGCACTCATTGTAATGTGTAGGCTCATTACAGTGAGGGATGTTGCAGTCTCCTGGCCAAAGTCCATCCTGTTTCTATAAATTCCACAGCCCCCCCCTGCAGTTTTAATCACGCATGGGATCTTCCTTCACTTCCTGCCTGGCCTTGGCAATTGTGGTGTATTGTAAGAGCGTGGATAGGGGAAAGCAGTGCACACGTAGAAGCTTTTAGCACAGTGCAGCTCTTTTACCACCCCAGTGAACTACAGTAACACACCTCAGTCCTTGGACTGGAACAAGCCAGCTCCTCCCTATTAAAGTCTGGTTTGAGGAAAATGGGACTAGAGGTTAGGTTAAGCAGCAAGAGAAGCAGTGAAAGTTGCAAACCAGAGAAGAACAGTTAACATTTGTACAAGATCAGGTTTGCCAGAGCAGCAATCGGAGACAAGGCAGGATATGCTGGAAAGTGAGGAAGTGATGTCCAGCAGGCATCAGCTAGCCCATGCTCCTGGAGTTGAGGCTCACTGAGAGCTCGAGGGACGAGCTGCCGGGTGGGAACAGTTGCAGCACTGTGCCTTGGCAAATCCAGGGCTTGCCAGGACGGCTGGGAGATGGAGAGACCTGGCTGTCAGCAACACTGCTCTGCGCTTTCTCTCCTCAGGGAACACCATCACTATGCCAACTGCCTCGGGGGCCAAAAAGCGTTTCTGGATTATTGAGGACATGTCCCCGTTTGGCAAGCGCCGCAAGACCGCGTCCTCACGCAAGATGCTGGACGAAGGGATGATGCTGGAGGGGTTCCGGCGCTATGACCTCTACGAGGACTGCAAGGACTCCAGCTGCCAGTTCTCTCTCAAGGTTACCCACTACCACTGCACACGGGAGAACTGTGGCTACAAGTTCTGTGGCCGTACCCACATGTATAAGCACGCCCAGCACCACGACCGCGTCGACAACCTGGTATTGGATGATTTCAAACGCTTCAAGTCTTCGCTGAGCTGTAACTTCCCAGACTGTCAGTTCTCTGGCAATAGCACACACTTCCACTGTCTGCGCTGCGGCTTCCGCTGCACTGACAGCACCAAGGTGACAGCGCACCGCAAGCACCACGGCAAGCAGGACGTCATCAGCGCCGCCGGCTTCTGCCAGTTCAGCTCCAGCGTGGACTGCGAGGTGCCTGACTGCAAGTACAAACTGAAATGCTCCCACTTCCACTGCACCTACCCCGGCTGCAAACACACGGTGGTGGGCATGTCTCAGATGGACTCTCACAAGCGCAAACACGAGAAGCAGGAGCGAGGGGAGCTGCCTGCCATCTCTCCCGGCCCCGAGGGCCTCGCCCACTCCACTCTTGAGTACGATATCCAGAACTCTTCCATCAACCTGGACAGTTCGCTCAACCTCAGCACTGACAACAACAGCTCCCTCTTCTTCCTGCAGAACGCGGCGGGCGTGGGCCTCAGTGACTCCCTGGACCTCAGCAAGAAGCAGGCGGAGGCCACCGAGGGCCCGGCCCCGAGCAGAGCCGGGACCGCGCCGCCGGAGAGGAGCGCGGGGGCACCGGGCTCCAGGGACGGGGAGGACGAGGACGACTCTTCCCAAGAGGATGAAGAGGACGATGAGGAGGAGATGAATGAAGAAGAGGAGGATGATGAAGAGGAGGACGACGATGACGATGATGAGGAGGACGAGGAGGAGGAAGACCTGAACACAGATTCTGAAGAATCGCTGCCGGACCCTGAAGGCCTGGCCACTAAAGAAGATGGAGAACCAGAGGAGGGTGCTTCTTCCACAGACCATGGCGATGCTTCCAGGCCACAGGGCGAGCCAGCCCTCACTCCAGCCCCAGCTCCTGCCCCTGCTCCAGCTCCAGCTGCTGCCTCAGCCTCCACCACAGCTCCAGCAGCTTCTCCTTAATCCTAGAGACAGCAACGGCAGTGGTTTGGTTTTTCTCTTACACAGATTTACTAAGAGGACCCCGTGTAAGGCAAGAACAAAGATGGGGATGGCAAATGAAAAACAAACTCTGTGCCACAAGTGAGAGAGAGGAAGGAAGGAAACCCCTGCTCCTCCCCAGGCCCCAGAAGAGATCGGTTCGCAGCAGGACTGGTGCTGCTTCACTCCATTCTACAGATCCCAGAACAAGGGGGCAGGATGCAGCAAAAAACACCCTTTCTATGGACACGAACCCTGAGGGTACCCACTACTTTTCCTTGCTCCCTGCACGGTGCGTGGGGCCTGTGCCCATCTGGGGACCCTTTTTTATGGGTGGGGCTCTATCCCCCCAATTTTCTTTCTGGGTTTTATTTTTCCATGTTTTCAGTTGTACGATAATAATAATAATCTCCACTTCTTGGAGGGGGGTGGGTGGGAACAAGAGGTAATGAATTTTAGAAATATATATTTGTGTGTGTGTCTCTCTATATAATGTACACACACACACATATATAAAATTAAAGGAATTGGTGTCACAAAGACAAGTAGCTCAGCTTTTGCCAGTGGGAAGGAGGGGGTGAGGAGTGTGCTCTCTCTCTCTCTCCACCCTTCCCCCTTCTTTCTCCAGCATTAAATGGCATCAGACAGCCAGGGTGGGAGTGGGTATTTATTGTCACATAAATGAGGATGCATTAATGAATGAGCAGGGGTGGGAATGGGACACTCCTCTGTTCTTCCAGATCCTTTTGACTGTTAATGATAATAATTTTGAATGCTATTTATATTGTAAAACTTTCTCAGTCTACACTTTCTCTGTAGGACACCTCTCCTCATCCCTGCTGTTCTGACCGTAGGGATTTAGCTGAAGTAACCTGGGAAGAACACAGCAGGCAGTTTAAAGGGTCTGTCAGTCACACTGGAGGACTGGGGTTACTCTGCCAACCAGTTCCATCTCATCCCAACCCCCAGGTGCTTCCTCTCTGCGGAGGGTGAGGCGTTTTTGTGGTGCTTCAGTGTCCCCATCTCAGGAGGCCGTGAGCTGCCCCTGCCCCGTGGCACAGCACAGGGAGCACCGAGCTCGCCCAGGAGCGTCCTGGTCACCAAAGCCGCCCTGGGAAAGGGCCCTGCTCTGCCCCAGCAGCGGGACCAGGACGGTGCCAGCTGCCAGCCCTGCTCTGAGCCCTGCGCCGCAGACACGCCGCTGTGTGACAGACACAGATCTCAGGTGATGCTGGCAGGGCTCTGAGCCCGCCGGGGTGTCTGCTCAGCCTGGGCCGGGCAGGGACAGCCCTGAGCCGGGCAGGGACAGCTCTGGGCCGGGCAGGGACAGCCCTGGGCCAAACAGGGACAGCCCTGGGCTGGGCAGGGACAGCCCTGGGCCAAGCAGGGTCAGCCCTGGGCCGGGCAGGGACAGTCCTGGGCCGGGCAGGGTCAGCCCTGGGCCGGGCAGGGACAGCCCTGGGCCGGGCAGGGACAGCCCTGAGCCGGGCAGGGTCCAGGACCTGCTGCTGCGGTGCTGGGGCGCAGGGCCTGACCCCGGTGCTGCTGCAGGTCCGGGCCCTCCTCTCCCCCTGGCACTGCAGGAGCAGCTGAACCCCCTCCAGCAGCCTGGGCTCCCCCTGCTCCCGCTCTCCCCGCTACCTTCTCCTGGCCCGGCCTGGGCACACACACTACAGGACACTGTCCCGGACTCCGGCAGGTGCCACAGCAGCTGTTTGACCCCAAATCCTTGCCTGAGCCTGAAAGGGCTCTACACACACCAGGGCACCAGAAGGACTAGTATGAGTTAGTTCTGATAGTTATTTTGGTGCCAGTTTTAAAGTAAACCAGATTAGTCTGAGCTTTGTCCTTTTAAAAAAAAAAAATTTTATTTTTTTTTTTTTTTATACCATGCAGGCACCCTCTCCCCTCCTCAGCTCCATGAGCACTTCAGCTCTAAGGGATCCCCAGGATTTGTTTTCACCCTGAACAGATAAAGGCTTTTTTTTTTTGGTTATTTCCCTAAGGAACTGGTGCAGATCAGGTCTGATTTATAAACAAGCAGCTCAGCTGTGTAAATGTGGGGACAGAATGTTCAGCTAATGTTGCAAAAGGAAAGGAAAAAAAAAAAAAGTTGTACAGTATTTTTCCTGTAAAGGTTATTACTATATATAGAACAAAAGAGAAACCACCAATGCCGAGGGGTGGAGGGGGAGGTGTCACCTGCCTTCTGGATAGCCCTTACATATGGTTAATTGTGTGCAATTTTTTTTCTCCTTTTTTTTTTTCTCTCTCCTTTTTCTCCCCCTTTTTTTTTTTCTCTCTTTCAATGTAGTGTATGTTTGTAGGGGTGGCAGGGGAGGGGGGGCCTTAATGCTGTGGTTTGAGGCTGACTTCACACTCCCAGCACTGACCGGACCTGCACGATTCCGAACTCTAACTTGAATTTTGTAGAGATGAAACAAATGAAAACAAATGAAATATTATCACTAGTTTGTAGTTTATTTAATTCTTTGGAGTTCTTTTCCTCTATCAGCTATTTGTGTGGCTTTTATTTTTATAGGGGGTTTTTTTGTTGTTTGTTTGTTTTTGTTTTGTTTGGTATATCCCCTACCCTCAGCTGTGTTTTTCCTAGCACAACCCCATTCTTGAATGGAATGAAGCTCACATTCCTGGGGCAGAGTGATAAAATGATGCCCTGGAATTTCTCAAAATGGGATGGGGCAAAAAGATTTTACTTTAGTAGCATTTGCTGCAGGTTCTGTACTTGTACATTTTCCCTGTGTTCAGCTACTTAGATAGTATGGTGATGGGCTCCAGGAGGAATCCTTAGATTAACACAAGCCACGTCTTGCAAAGCAGATGTGATGATTTTGTACCGCCAGAACCAACAGGATCTGTCAGTGACTGTGGGAGCAGGACTGAGCCCTCCTGGCAGCGTGTCCTGCCCGGGCACACGGAGCTGGTGCCAGGGGCAACCCGAGGGCTTCCTCGGGCCACTCGTGTCCCTGCTCCTCGTGGGAGCTGGGAACCTGCACTGTGACACTTGTCTCACCTCTCCCGGTCACATCTCAGCGGCTCCACGCCCGAGTCACTGCACAGCAGCGGGGAGGGCAGAAGTGTGTGGAGGGAGGGGTGAGAGGTGTCCAGTGGCTCTGCAGGGCTGGACAGGACTCCCCGCGGCCGCTGCGCCCGGAGCCGCCCGCACGGGGCCGTGTCCCTCGTCCCGTGGGGCTGAGTGTGCCAGAAGGGCCCCAGTTTATCTATGCACACCATTTTCTCCCCCCAGGCACCCTACTCCTCCCTAACACCTCAGCCCTTCTCCCAGACTTCTGTCACCTCTTGTGGCGGAGCTGGTGCAGGAGTGAGAGTTCTCTGCCACTGCTGGAGGTGACCCCCGAGCAGGGCTGACCCCAGAGGTCAGGGCCTGGCAGGACAGCGGCCACCCGGCCAGCCTGACCCCGTCCTCACCAGTCCTGTTCTGTAACTCCTACACTGTCTCTGTTTGCAACAACAACAAAAGAAAGTTGAACCCGACTTTTTATTCTGCCATGTTCAGGCTTTAATTCAGCAAAACCCTTAAGCAGAAGACTCTGAGTGGGCCCAGGTTTAAGCCCGAGCTTAAGTGCTTTTCTGAACAAGGGCCTCAACAGCCCAACACCCGTCAGAGCAGGTGGTTTGTCATTCCAAGCTCTCATATCAGTGGGACTGTCTAAAGAATGACCAGAGAAAGAGAGGGAGATTCAACTGGCTCTCTAAGAAGAGGAGAGAGGAAATGGAACTGTTTTGTCCAAAACAAGATAAAAACCAAACAATAATGAACCTTGAGATGGACCCTCCTGATTCTGCTACCATTCACTGCTGAAGAGCAAAAAATTAAATAAAAACTATTGACTAGATTGTTCATGCTAGCCACAAACTCAGCTGGATTAAAGTCTGCGTGGAAGGAATTTTGTAAAGAAAAAAAAAAATTTAAAAAAATTTTCCAATGTAGCAAAAAAAAAACAACTTTAAAAAACAAAAATTTAAAAAAAAAGACAATGAGGGAGGATTCTAGCCTTTTGTAATATCCATATTGCACACTAGGACTATAAGCCATTGCTAGCTCATTTTGAATTTTAAATGTGTAATTTTATTTTGTTTTGTTGTTGTTTTTTTTTTTTCTTTCCATGGGGGAGGGGGGAAAATAAATGCTTGAACCACCAATGCTCTTTTTAATGTTTTATAAATATGTATGTGTATATATATAAATATAAAAATAATATGTATGCACATATATATGTGTGTGTGTATATATCTATATGTATATACATATATATAGATATATAGATATATATATAGGTTTTGAGACAAAAATGCAGAAAGTGAAAAAAACACCCTAAACAGGATGGTGTGCTCTGATTTACTTGAATCTGGTCTCTTCAGCACCTGCGTTATTAAGAACTGAATATTTTTCCACTTGAATTTAGTGCTATTAGAAATTTAATATATGTGTTTTATTTATTTGATTTTTTTTTTTTTTTTGCATGACTGATGCAAGGTTTGACATTTTCACTCAATAAAAACTGGAAAAAAAAAACCCAAAGTTTTAAGTGATCAAGTTGTCTTCTTGCTTGAGTGGTTGAATGACTGGGCAGGACAGGCACCGTGCAGTACCTGCACGTCAGAATGTTCCTGTTTTACCCTTCCCCTGTGGCTCTTCCCCAGGCACAGGGAAGCAGCTCTGTGGTCCTTGTGCCTCTCTGCCATCCTCAGAGAACCCAGGAGCAGCGAGCAGCGCCTGCCAAGCCTGATGCACTGGCAGCAGCTGCCTCCTTATTAGCAGAGAGGATTAGACTCCTCTCTCTTTCAAAGCCCCCTCGTTGCTCTGCTGCAGCTCCCTGCCATCCTGTTTTCAGATGTCATTATCTGAACATGCTCCTAATCCAGCCCTGGAGCCCAGAGGTTTGTTCTCACTGGAGCTCTGCCCACAGCACATGGACTATTGAAATGGCCTTGTTTCCAGGTGGGGACAGGGGACACGAACACAATTCATTGCTGGAAAGCTTTTCTGGAACCTGATTTTTCTCAGTGGGACTCTGGACTTCATAAAAGAATGACTAAGCTGTGGGAGAAGCTGCAAGTTGAACAAATCAAAGTCTCACTATTGCATTTGTTCCAAGCCCTTGCAGGTGGTGAGAGTGCAGTCTTGCACCACAACCCTGCACCCACAGCCCTGCATCCACCACCCTGCACCTGGTGAGCCCTGGGAAGCAGCAGACACCAGGCAAGGTCACTTGTTTAAATGTCAAGACAAAAACGGGGCAGTTGCTGCTGCTATTGTACTTTGATACCTCAAGTGTATCCCTGTAATAGTCTTTGAGTCCCCTGTGTCAGACAGCCACATGGAAATCCATCACTCAGGCTCCAGCCCTCACCTTTGGGGTCTCTGCTGCCATGAACAGATTCCACCAGTACCTGAAAGCTGACAAAACCTGCAATTACTACCTGCAAAGCACAATTCCAAAAACCAATTCCTCCCTGTGAGGGGAAAAAAGGCAGTGAGCATTTGTAGGTAAAGGAGGTGCTGGAAGGGATGACAAGTTCTTCATGCCAGCCCTGGGTGAAGGGCTGGGCTCACTGGAGTCCCTCAGACACTTCCCTCGCAGGGTCAGGCATTGCTCAGGAGATGGAACATGGTCCAAGCTGAAGCAGATCCCTTCATCTTCCCCGAGCAAGGCAGGGTGTCCTCGCCCCAGTCCTGCTCTCGCCCGTGAACTGCCCCAGGCCCATCCTAGCTGAGGAAGGGTGGCCAATGGAGGCAGCTTCCCTTCCTCCTTTTGCTCTTTTTTGGCAGGAAAACTCTTAAACAAACAAATGAAGAAACACTGAGGATTTAAGTAAACAGCTGAAGATTTATCTGACAGGCTGACAGAGCTGTTCCTGCCCCCTTCCCTCCCTCCCCACAGGGCAGTGGCAGCCAGCAGCCCCTGCCCTGAGCCCCAGGGACCCTCCTGGGATGCCAGGCCATGGCCAGGCTCTGCCTGCACGCCAGAGCTCTGCAGTGGCACTGAACTGGGCACAAGGGAGACACTTGGTGTGCGGCCAGAGCCCATCTGCCCTCGGAGGGAAGCGAGCGCCTTCATGCAGAGGCACGTGCTGTCCCTGCAGGTCACCTCTGGGGAAGGGCACCCACAAGCACAGGTCCAGCACCAATGTCCCTGCTGTGCCCTCACACAGCTCTGTGCAGGGGCTGGCACGGCTGCAGCCCCTCCACGTCCCCTCCACGCAGCACAAGGGGGGACACCCACTGCCAGGGGCATTCCCCACACTTCCCCATTTCCCCACA